TCGCACTCTGTCGTCAAGGTCTAAGCACCAAGTAGTCCTCTTTTTAGATGATCTACAATGGGCTGATGGTCTAAGTTTGGAATTGATACAATCTATTCTGACTGACAATACCATTTCAAATTTATTCGTCTTTGGCGGCTACCGCTCCAACGAAGTTGGCGGAGACCACACAAGGAGACTGCTATGCATCTCTTTTCCATAGCAGCTCAAGCAAAGTATGGGGTTGGGGACAATGATGCAGCAGAGCGGTTTTGCAAGCGCGTCATCGCACAACACAAGGGAGATAATCCCAATGTGACAATCGTTGAAGCGCTGCCAGCTTTTCATGTCTATCTGGACATAATTGGCGACAGGGGGGAAAAGGAGACTGCGCTTGAATTATGCTTGGAGCTCCTCTATGAACTTGGCATTGCGGTACCGAAAAGTGGAAAGATGCTTCGGGCAAAAGTGTGGTGGACGTTGAAGCAGATTGAACGTCGATTGCCAACAGAAGAATCCGTTATAAATATGCCACATGTTACGGATCCTCTGGTCGTATACAAGATGGAACTCATTCAGCAAACTTCATCTCTGGCGTATACTGCTAAGAAAACGTATCTTTATATGCTCCTCTGCTGCGAGTCGGTCAAGCATATCGTTGAACATGGGCTCACAGATACTTCAGCAGCGTCGATAGCTTCTTTCGCGAATGTGCTCATGCATGTGTACAACGATTTTAAGACTAGCCCACAACTTGCGGAGTTGGCTATCCTTATCGCGGATCGTCAGCAAAGCAAGTTCAATGAGACGCAACCATTGAATACAGCGAACAATTTGGTATTGGCCTGGGTTCGCCCGCTTTCAAGTCGCTTGAAGTATCACCAGCGTGCCTATATGTCTGGCATCGCATCGGGCAATGTGAACGGTGCAATGGTTGGTAAATGGTTCTGGTTTCAAATCAGTTTGTTTGCATGCCCCATTAGTCTCCCTGAATTGGAGGGCGAAGTTCGCGAAGGTGTCACCGAAATGCACAAACTGGGACAGGGGTTCATGGCCAGTACTGCTAGCATTGTATGGCAGTTGGTACTTAATCTCATCGGCAAGTCTGGAAATCCAAATACAAGCGTGTTGACTGGAGAAGCAATTGACGAAAGAACTGAACTCTATACACAGAAAATGCCATTGAAAGTCATTATTGGCCCGTGGAAGAGCATGTCCCTTCTGTTCTTTGGAGATTATGAGGCTGCAGCCGAACATGCATTGCGAAGAGGAGACAAGTTCCCAAAGTTGGCAATTGGTATGATATATGGCTTTGAAGCTGTTTTCAGAGCAGTACCGCTCTTCATCATGGCCCGTTTAGACGATGCTCAGAAAGCTAAATACAAAAAAGAAGCATTGAAACTGCTCAAAAGAATCAGAACCTGGGTAAAGAAAGGGTGCAAAAATCTGGTTGGGCCACACCAACTCATCGAGGCGGAGTTGATGGCGTCGCAGAAGAATGCAAAATGGGCTCGATCATACTTTGAGATGGCAATACTGATTTGCCGAAAAGACAATTTTCATCAGTTTTCAGGCCTGTCTTGCGAACTTTACTCCGATTACTTGTCTGAGATTGGCGATTTCAAAGGGTCGAAGATACAATTTCAGGATGCCATCGATGATTACAGCCGGTGGGGAGCAACGAGAAAGGTCGATTTCCTCAAGCACAAACTCGCGCTTATCGGTTAGTTAGAATACAATGAAACAATTTGTCTCAGATTATCAATGCAATAAAGTGTAGTATTAAGAAATCCATTTCAACAATATTTGATGCCCAACCGGTACTGTACCATACAGTAGGTTGGAATAAGCTTTCGTCAAACATGTGAAATAATGGTCAACAATTTTCTGGTGGGGAAGTCTTCGCGTTGCACGCACGCCAGCCACAATTAATAATATACAGTTCTGTGGATGGCAACATATATTATATTTTTTATATATTGCCTTCAGACCAAAATCTGGCACCTACTGTATAGTGTAAGATATTTTGGATGTTACCGTACAGTGAGTGATCAATCGATCATCAATCAACATGAAGTTCTTGAGCCCAAAAGGTGCTGTCAAGGATGCGAAGGAGCTCGAGTATCTCGTAGCTTTACATCAAACTACACATGCTGAAATAGAGGAGTTCAGGGATGGTTCAATTGATGGTACGATCCTATTGTGACAGTTTCGATGATCGTGTCAGCTAGATCTCAGGTCGTTCTTGTTCTCATCTTATCTCATCTCATGTATGTGATGATTTCCCTGCAGACGAGGATGTGCGAGTGTTTCTAATGTCAAGATTTGGAATCGTCGTGACCAACGAGCAAGTCAGAGAGTACATTTTCAAAGGACTTGCTGGCGGAGACGGGGAAGACGAAGCCATTGATATTCTTGAGCTTGTCTCCATACTGATGATCCCCATGCTTGTCAAGGTTTCTGATTCTGTCCTTGGAAACAAGAAGAGGACTTCTATTCTAACGAGCGATCAAGAGCGCCTGCTGCCACCACCTACAATCATTGCTGATGTCCTCCAGAATATCCTGTCCGACACAACAGATGGCGAATCGTCGACAGCCAAGCCACCTCCCCTGACTCCTTCCATTTTGCGCCAAATTTTTGTCCAATATGATGAGCTGGAGCTGGTGAAAGATGACAAATTGATCGAAGAGATGATTGCAGTTGCATGTAGAGGTAGACCTGGAGCACCTTTGGATGTCAAAGCCTTTGCACGTGCATTGTCCAGTGACGTCAATCTATACAATCCAGAGAACGAAACTCGATACACCGAGATACTAACGGATATCTTTCCAAATGGTGTAGAAAAAGCGGAGGAAAGTGGTGCAGAAAAAGCGGCGGAGACTGATGTTGTTGGAGACAGTACGCAATCAGTGAAAAAGGTCAAAACCTTGTCGCATATGGATTTCACGGCCGACACCTTCGTCCATTCGCTCCACGTCAGTATGCTTTGGTTGGTGATAGTGTTCTCGTACTTCTTTTACATGTTGGGAGTCCAAGGTGCTGATTTTCTGCAATCATCAAAGGATGGATTCGGCTACAAAGTGGGATACGCAGTCTTGCGATGGACCATCACTATGCTGAAGCTTGTGTAAGTCTGGATTTCTGATGCCGCTTCCATTCGATCTTTCAACCCACACTCACCGTAGCCCTTCTCCTTCAATAGGATCCTTGGAGGAGCATTTGGTTTCTGTTTAGGCCTGGGAAATGGACTCCCTCTCAAGTCGATCATTGGCCCTTTACTTGGATTGATTGCCACTGCTGTCCTTGTATTCGTTCCCGCTTCGTACAAAGGATCGAACGAAATCTTTGATACCGATCTCGAAAACTCCGATGAGCATTCTGAATGGCCCGGTCTTGGCTACCTCCTTGTCATCTTTGGAATAGTCCTAGTTTTGCTCCAAGTCAAGAATATTTTCGATCTCATGATGCCCAGCTTTGAACACACCAAGTTATACACAATCGTTGACAGGGTCGCTGGAAGCAGCACGCAACTCTCCTACCGAAGCAAACAAGCTGGTATCTTCAAGATCAACCAGTTGGTCAAGAATGCATACGAGCTACACAAGCTGGACGAGAAGGCGCAAGAACGATCCCTTCTCAAGTCTAGTCGACCCGGGGAAGGATCGAATGACAGCCCGACTATTCACAAATCAAGCAAAGCGATCGCTCTTCGGAACTACGCCGACCAGGTCGACGAGCTTGAAGAAGTGGGCGGATTTGTGTGGTCTGTCAAGGAATACTTCAGTGGTCGATTGGCAGGAACGGAAGGTATCTGGCTGCCTTCGAGATTACTGGCAGCGAACGCAATTCAATTCTTCGCCATCATCGTATGTATTACCGCTGCTTCGGTCACGTTTCGAGATCTTATTGACACATTTTATCCCAAAGAACTCCCAGATGAGGTCATCTACAGCGACAGTTGCTTCACGACATTTGATTATAGCAAGTGTTACTTTCCGTTTGAGGACAGGGGCTTCTATGCTGGAATTGGAGTATGTCGCGATGTTTCCTTCGAAGGACCTGAATGTTATGACCTCTTTGAGCCTCTGAACAGTACCGAGGGTCTTGATGGACTCATTGGGGACACTTGCACGAGTCTTCAATCTGCTTTCACAGCGGTAGAGGCACAAGTGACAGACACCCTTCTTGGTGCAAATTGCTCTGTTGTCTTAAGCGCAGCAAGAGACTTTGCCAACGAAGCAGCAATTGATGAGAATATCGACCCAGCCGAGATCGAAAACATCATTAATCGCTGCTACGGAGTGAATACTATGACGGCCGAAGATATTGAAAAGTTCAACGAATGGTTTGATGACGACGAATTCTTCCCTGACATTACGAACGAGACACTTTCTTACTGCTCTGAGGTCGCAGATTTCATAAAGACAGACGCTTTTACCGATCTCGCCCCTGGATTTGAGGACGACGCCTTTCAAGCGTACCGGTTGTGTATGGAAGCCTACGGAAGTATCGAGATGGAAAGCCCGTGTGATACACAATTATTTTCGCCCTTGCAAGAAATCTTTGCGTACGAGAAAGACTATGATGGTGAAAACTTTTGCGTTTCTTTCATTAGTGCTTGCTACATCGATCCCTTCAATCCCACAAGAGCGACGTGTATCATTGGGGAAAGCGAAGACATGGTGTATCAGTTTCAAGGTTCCACATGTGAGACTTATCCTCAAATCAACAACACAATGAAATACTATGAAGAGAACATCCTTCCGCAGCAGCTATCTGTCATGCGCTTCTTTCCGGAGAAATGGACGTGAGTATCAACAATTTTTATTCAGCACGACCTCATCTTCCCTATCTCACTTCTTCTCCTTCCTTCGACGCCAATTTCTCGCTGTAGGCTTTACCTAACTGCAATCATGTCTATTGTCAGCGGCTCAATTGTCGCAATCATTACAGCGGGTGTTTACATTCCATCTGCAATCCACACCGTGCTCAAATTCCGTTATGGAGTCATTCCTTCGCTGAAAGATCCCAAGTTCCTCAAATACCGCGACAACCTGGTCAATCAAACGTACATGATCGGAGCAATGTTTTGGGGTCTAATTGTGACCACCTTGATGGTCACCATTCTGATTGCACTGATTGTTTTTTTGCTTGTTTGGCCCGCAAGTCGCGACATTGTGATCAATCTGTGTGCGCAAGTGTTGGGTAAGATCATGACTATTGACTTTTTCTTGGTTTGGCCGATGTGGACGTACAATCTGATGGATCTTTGTTTTGTTTCGTTGCCGACAGGTATTGCGGTAACCATTATTCTAAGGAGCGTACTATGTATGATCTTTCTGAAAACAGCTTATGCAGGATTCTACCGCAAAATGCCAGCGTTTGCCAATGCCTTCATGTTTTGCATGGAATGCTGGAATATGTAAGTCGACGAATGTTGTTTTGGAAATCACAACCGCATTGCGCTCAAGAAGTCATGTGCTCACCCCTTGGATATTTTTGTTTATAGTGCCCTTACTGCGGCGTTTGTGTTGGGTCGTCTTGTCAAGTTCTTGCTAGCCACTGGTCTGTATGTTGGCAGAATCGATCGACCTGTGTTGGCCGAAGGCTTGGCTCTGGATATTGATTCTCTACCAAGAATTTTCCGTCAGAATCTACTTTCAGCGGAAGCGCATCGCCACCCGTACATCGAGCAGTTGGCGCAGATGTACTTGATGAAGCTGCGCCACAAGGATGATTTTGGAACAAAGGCAGGGTCCATTTGGCGGCTTTTGTTCGTGTCTGCCTTGATGCCTTGGCTAAGGAAGAAGCGTATTCAAGACGATGTGGATATTGGCAAAGAAATCGTCGCTAAAATGAGGAGCAGTATAGCGCAGGGGGAGCCCGAAAAGAATCCACGTAGGATCAGCAGAGCCTCCTTCCTGATTGATCCATAGACGGTTTCATATTTCGGATAGGTGCTTAGAACATCAATTAAATAGTAGAATCAAATACAATAAATACAATATGTCATCGTACGTGCACGTGCATGAGGTGCCTTTTCTGACAGCATGAGGTGCTGATAAAGATATGAATTGAATATATACTGGACCCGGATAATTCGTTTATCGAATTGAAGCATCTCCACTACAGAGAAACTTATTATATATATAGCCAATCGACGGATATTTGACATTCGGATCTAAAAAAAGGCACATGATCGCATGCCACTTTGTCTACCGTACGCTGCTGAGAATGGCTTTATCGACATTTTTGAATTACTGCTGAAACCTAGGTTGTGGATGATATGTGCAAGATTTTCATCATACTAGCTAGAGACTGAGTGAGTATGACCACAGTTCCCAATGTCGATACAACCCTAACCAACCCATCATTTTCAATTTTGAAAAGAATTCAAACGTGAAGCGGTCGAACGAGTCAGTCATAGCCTGAGTCAGTGAAATGAAAACAAAACAAAATTCGATTCCCATCATTCATTCATTCATTCATCGTGCAGTCTCACTGCCATCCATTACTACAGCCTTCACCCCATCGATCTCCAAGACTTTCAATCTTCCAACAAATCCATCATGTCCTCTGTCAATAGCTGGACAAAAGTAGCAGCTGGAGCCCGCCTAGTGCTTGGTGCCGCCGCAAAGCAAACAGTCGATGAGGCAAGCATTGTAGCAAAACGAGCCACCAATCATGGCATCGAGTTGGGCTACAAAGCTCGCCAAACGGCAGCTGCATCACAAAGTATTCTCGCACAGAACATGAATGAAGTAATGATGAGAAGGAACAAAGATGCTTTTTCGACTGATTCGCAGGAAGCTGTAAGGAAGAATAATCCTTATGAATCTCAGCTTCGAAAGCAACAGGAGCAACAAAATCAAGAAGACTTGAACGGCAGCTCAAATTCATCTGAGAGTGTCCCAGATATTCCAAATCCATACCTGCTCCATGCCGAGCAACCAATGGCTACACCGTCACCTACTGAGACGAAGGCCGCAGGTGGTGAAAAATATGACGACATCTCTACAACGAGTTCAGCGTCTCAGTTTGATCAATCCATGTCGTCCAACGAAAATCAAATTCGTCAACCGCAAGAAGATCAGCCACAAGAAGAAATACCAGCTCTATTGAAAGAGGGAAGATCAATTCCATCTTCTCGTTTTGGCCGAGCTGCGGGCTTCGCTTCCTTAGGTTTTGGATTGGCCATGGGAACTGCTTCCGAACTAGCCAGTCGTCTCGTGTCCTCCGAACGGCGTGGATCTTCTGTGATTGCCACAGATGCCAATGCCGATCGTTTGGCAGCCACCTTGTGTCGGATGCGTGGGGCCGCCTTGAAAATGGGACAAATGTTGAGCATTCAAGACGAATCCCTCCTACCTCCTGCACTTTTAAAAGCCTTGAAACAGGTTCGACAAGGAGCCGACGCCATGCCAAATCATCAATTGGCCAAACAACTGACGTCCCAACTAGGTTCGGATTGGCGGGATAAGTTTGAATCCTTTGAGGACCTTCCTTTTGCGGCTGCTTCCATTGGACAAGTTCATCGGGCCACCATTAAGGATGAAACGACAGGAGAAATACGAAATGTTTGTGTCAAGGTCCAGTACCCCGGAGTGGCCAATTCGATTGAATCCGACCTTCGCAACTTGGCCATGTTGGTGACCATGACTGGATTGGCCCCTCGTGGCCTCTTTATCGAGAATGTGATCCGAGTGGGTCGGGACGAACTCAAGGTGGAATGCAACTATCTGAACGAAATGGCAAACCAAAAGGCTTTCAAAGCGTTGGTGGCCAATGACCCTGTCCTTCAAGCAAACAATTTTTCGGTACCAGACGTAGTGGAATCTTTGACCACCGAGCAAATCCTTGTGACGGACTTTGCACCAGGAGGAACCATTGACAAGGTATCGCATTTGGATCAAGAAGAACGCAATCGCATTGGTCGGAGCATCTTGTACTTGACCATGAAGGAACTCTTTGAATGGCGACTGATGCAAACCGATCCCAATTGGGGTAACTTTTTGTACGATGTTGGTACAAATACCACCTCTTTGATTGATTTTGGAGCGACCCGCGAGTACGACAAGAAGTTTGTGGATGGATATTTGCGCATTGTTTGGGCCAATGCGAACCGGGACGAAGAAACCTTGATGGAAATGTCAAGAAAGATGGGCTTCTTGACTGGAGAAGAGAATGAAGCCATGCTTCACGCCCACAAGATGAGTGGATTCACAGTCGGAGAACCATTTTGGGAGAACGAACCATTTGATTTTAAGGGATCTCAAATATCAACTCGAATGGGAGAACATACCTCTGTCTTTTTGAAACACAGATTGACGTAAGTACCCTATATTTTGCTTTTGTACCAAGCTCCTGTCGCCAATGAAAATGGATTGGATCTAACCCGTTTTGTTTTCTTTCTATAATCATTCACAATCATTCATCATCATCATTCTAAAAATCACCAGTCCTCCTCCCGAAGAAGTATATACCTTGCACCGCAAACTGGCTGGAGCATATATGCTTTGCATCAAGCTGAACGCCATTGTAGAGTCCCGAGACATGTTGGAGACCATCGTTTCAAAGCATGTATTCGAAGACGGGCTACCACATCCCATTCATGACTAACTAGCTACTGTTTGTATTTTGAAAATTACCAAAAATACGACCACCAAATTGCCGATACGCAATGAATGAAGGAAGCCATGAATGCTAAAAGAGAAGAAAGAGACTGTTTTGTACTCTAACACTTGGAAACACGACAAATAGATTTTTTAAAAACGATGGCTGATTATTTATTCTCTAGCTAGAGGGGGAGAAAAAAAACTTTCGATGGCAGTCAGCGGCGATATAATAAAAGGGTGCGAATGATCATTATCCTACCAAATGCCAACAGTAGCCTTTCATCAGTACCAGTATACCGTCATATCATTATGATGACGTATATTCGCCCACAACGACGACAACAACAACAAGTCGATTGATGTGTATATTTTTTTAAATATAAAAAAACAATGCATGGTGTGTTTGTCTGTGTGTCATGCATTCCTTTTTGCTCTCTCCAGCATGGTGGTGCGTGGTATGCATTTGCGCATTTTACATGGCATACTCCCTGTAATAATCTCTTAGAATTTGGACCACAATAAACATGGAAACAGTGTGTCCACCACACCGCAAATAGTATGGAAAGAATCCATTGTAAAGAGCCAAGAATCCCTTTTCTGACGAAACCTTGGCCAAGGTTTGAAAGGTTCCAGTAAATGGTAATTTACCAGTTTTCGGGTCCGGCTTTTGACTGGCCATGCGATTTTTGGAAGCCTCGAGTGGCATGGTGGCAACACTGTAGACCAATCCGGAAGTCATGGCGGCGCAAAAGACATTGGGGATGGAATTCTTGACTTGTCCTAGGTAGGAACAATACATTTCCTTGAATTGATCCAAAGTGGCGACTTGAAAGACACCGACCATCATGGCCCGGGAGACAAAGGGACCGGATCCTCTCCAAAAGGCAGTGATGCCTTCTTCCTTGATGATACGAGTGGCAGTGTCCACGACTCCCTTGTAATTGCGTCGTTCTTCGACTGGCAAGGACGAATCATTGGACATGCGGACCACAGCGACTTCCATGGGACAAGAAATGTAAGCAGCAATACCTCCACTGACGAGACCAGTCGCGACACTAAGAAGAAGAAAAACAAGGAATGTGTGAGAACAAAATCTTGACTCATGGATGGATTGATGGATTGATTGATTGATTGATTGATTCCAACAACTGCATTGGCTTGCAATGCAATATATGGATGTCCATTCACATCTCCAATCAAAAAGCCCAACAACACAAGATCATCTGTTCCATTTCAAAAACATAATAGAATATAAAAAGCACTCACCGAGATGCAAAATCAGTATGTCCACGATATTCGTGCAACATATCCCTAAAAGTCTCAAACAATCCGAATCGAGTCGTCGCATAAAAGACTTGACGAAGAATACCCGCCGAAAGTCCATCGTAGACACTCATCAGACCTTGTTTTTCAATCATCCCCTTTAACGTAAAGGTTTGTCCAGCCGCACTGGCCAAGTTGGATCGGACGGCAATGGTATTAAAGGGATGGACGACGCACCATCCCATGCAACCACCAATACCGGCCGTTGCGAAAATGGCCGATTTGGGAAGTGGTGTTTTGGCAGCTGTAGCTGCAGCAGCAGCAGGGGCAGCCGAAGATGTGGCCATCATGACTTGCTGTTGCTTTTGGTTCATCAAAGTGGAGTACATTGTAATTGTGTGTTTTGGTGGGATATGTTTTATGTTGTCGGCAGCAGTTGGTCGGTTGGTTGGTTGGTTTTTTTTACAATATATATACGGTATACCTACAGAAAATGAGAACTAACTGCAAGATGGATGGCGTAGAAAATCCAAACCTTTTTACGGTTCGTATTGTTGAACTTTCATCGTCACTTCCTTCCAGCAGAAGATGTGAGATGTTGAAGGGTGGACGGACATTCTACTGTCTGCCTGTCAACCGAAGTGCATTCTAAAAGAGGGGATGAGCTTTCTCAACAAATCAAAAGAGGGGAAGCGAAAGCTTGGCACCAAAGACAGGATCAAAATGATCAGATGTCAAATTTATTTGCAGCATATCTGCAACCGCAAAAGCAGAAGCTTGTTGTTGATTCAACCACAACACAGTCAAGAAACCAGCACAGTGCTTCAATCTGGCTTTTGTCTAAGGTATTCGAAGAAAGGAATTACACAGGCATACCATTTAGCGCTGCCGTTCGGCATTGTATTACCTTTTGTGTTACTGAAACATCGCAAACAACAACACATAAAATGAGTTCTTCCAAACCCACAACCTCGATGAACCCCAACTTGGTGGCCAGCAAGGATTCCAATGACAAAGACGACTCAAAGTCGAGAAGGCATGCTGATTCGTCATCGAATGAATTGTACACCAAATCTTCCACTGGAGAATCGTCTGCGGCTAGCAGCAGCAACAAGAGCAAATCCACAAGTTTGAGACAGAATGCGTCCTCCAATAGCAGTACTAGTCGACGACTACAAGATCAGGCTGGAAAAAAAGCAAATCGAGGAAATTATCCACGCAGGAATGAACAAGCCTTTTCATCTTCCTCTTCTTCGGGGTCATCCACTCATTCGTCTTTATTAGACGACGATAGTGAACTAGAAGAAAATCTTGATCTTGATGATGAAGATGGTCTCAGCAGTCGTAGTGATTCGGACAGTCAAGCTTCTTCTTCTTCTTCTTCCGACAGTGATGCTCGCCAACTGGCCTCTAGCAGCAACAGCAACAGCAACAAGAAAAAGGAGGAAGAATCAGAATTTGACAAGGCCATGCGGATTGGCAAAAAGTCTACTGCAGCTCTTGTCAATGATCGCAGCAGCAAACAACAACACGCTACTGCAGCATCCTTTTCACTACCTCATTCCAACAGTGGTTCTAATAACTTATCGTCTCGATCCCGGAGCGATTCTTCTGCTAGCCAAAACCAGGAAGCAGCCGTCCAACAACCTGATTCGTCTTCATCAGCGGCACTGACTGCAACCAAACAGCAGCAGCAGCAGCAGCAGCAACAACAACAACAACAACAGCAACAGCAGCATCCCATGACCACCGAAGATCCTCTCACTTCAGGTATCTTGCCCGATGTCCTCATGAGCATGCGACAAAAGATTGAAAGTATGACTCTCTTTGATTCGGACATGCTGCAATTCAGTGATCACTATGGAATTGGAGATGATGCCAACGATCCACTCCAAATGGAAACTCGAGAATCCCTCAAACGATCCAGTCAACAGAGCATCAGTGCTAGTGTCCTAGTCAGTTTGGCTCACAAACGCTACGAACGACGACGATTGGCCGCCATGGAAATTGAAAAAGTGGTCCGGAGTCTCGTCCAACAAAAGGAATTGGAACGGGTCCGGGCCATTTTGCTACTCTTGAGCGACGACTATGTTCGTAGTACGGCAGAAGATGCGAGAAAGGGCGGTGTCGTGGCGTTGGCAGCCTCTGCGATTGGTTTGAAAAAGGCACCCCAAAATCATCCCATTGCACAAGAATGTCGGGACCTCATTCTGGCCAGTGTGGTCCATGCCTGTCAAGATCATTCCCAACGAGTCCGCTATTATGCTACCGAATCCTTGTTCAATGTCGTCAAGGTGATTCCACACTTGGCCGTGCAACACTTTTTCATTCTTTTTGAAATTCTACGAAGTTTGTATGCCGATGTCGATGTGGATGTGAAGTCAGGTGCCGAATTGTTGGACAAGAAATTAAAGGAAGTCATTGTCAGTGCCATGAATTCGGGATCCTTCACGGCGGATGCGTGCGTCCCCGTCTTTGCCCGCTTTGTCTACATGCGCAACAAGGCTACCAAACGACTGACACTCACCTGGCTCCAAGAATTGGGTGAAAAATTGATTGGGGCGCCCATTTTGGAATATCTGCACTTGTTTTTGGGGGGTATCTTTGACATGGTGGCGGACCCCACACTGGCGATTCGTCAATCGGCCTTGGCCTTTTTGCAATCCGTTCTACCCAAATTGTTGGTGGTCCAGCAGAATCAGATTCAAGACGATGCCATTGTGGATATGGATGGGATTCAAGTGGATTTTGACAAGATTTTGCAATCCTTGGTGACCACCATGGAACATCCAGATCCATTGGTTCGAAAGGTCGCCATGTACTGGATCTCACGGATTGTCAAGGCCCACATTGGAAGTGATGATCAGGAAGAAGAAGAAGAAGAGCAAAAGATTGTGCCGGTGGTGGAAGGATCTGAAAAAGAAGCACCAGGAGCCACCAACAAGGCGTTGACAAAAGCTGCGGGGGACGAAAGCAAACCACTGAGTGCAGCTACCATTTCGGTTCGAAATGCATTGCCCCATGTCTTGCCAGGAATCTTGTTGAGGTACGAAGAAATAATATACGTTTTCTGTCATGTTGATTATCATCATCATCTCACTTTTTCATAAACCCTCGTTTCCAAAATCTCATTTCGACAGCATCGGAGATACCTTCCACAACAAAGCGACGGCCAAAGACTCGTTCTTACCAGATCAGACGACGCACGCATTGGCCGAGCAAACCAACTCTTGCCTTCAGTACGCTGTTAGGGAGCATGGAAAGGCCTACTTTCAACATTTGGATAGCTTTATTGTAGCATTGCGAGAAGAGTTGGATAGTCCAGGAGGACTCAATGGACGGAATGCCCCTGCTGTCGAACGAAAACCCTATCGAATGGATGTCAAGCAGGACGGAACTGGGATTGAAAGTCAAGGCTGGTTCCGAGCATCGAAAGATACCAAGGATAATGATGTTGATTCTATGGTCATGTCGCGATTGTGTGCTTTGCATTGGATCATTGTCTTATATGAGCATGTTGTTCCAGATGTCCTAAAAGCGGATGTAAGGCTTTTGTCGATTCCCTGTTCCATTTCATTGTCCATAATCAAATCATGAAATCACTAACACATCTGCGCATTATTTCTCTCGTACTGCAGTATGCACAAGAGTTCATCCTTCCCATCATTCATCAGTTGGTAGATCATCCACCAGAACGCATCATCTACAAGAGTTTAATTGTGCTTGCAAAGATCACTATTCCAGTGGAGGGAGAAGAAGGATTCTCCCGCAATTTGTCGCCCGATGTGCTGCCTGAGAATGAAGATTCCATTACTGGTGGGCCTCCCGTTGCGGAAAACAGCGTTAGATATTCATTGGGATTGCTCGACCTTTCTAGACTGCAACTTCAATCACGGGACAGAGAAGTCTTTCGTGGCCTGATCGAACTGCATGCTTACAATACTCATTTGATCATGGACTTTTCGCGAGTGGTTGCCTACATGTGTCGATTGCAGCCACCAGAGTTTGTCTTTGTCTCATTCGTTGTCGAGCTCGAGCGATTTACAAGCGTGCAAATTGCGGCGCAGCGAATCAACGGAGGATCTTCGCAACAAGCTCCTCTTTCAAGGAGTCTGCAGTTTGTCAGTTCGTTCGTTGCTCAAATGTGCCACGTACTTCTCAATGCACAGGAGGCCAAATCATTGAGGGATAGGCTCAAAGACTGCATTTCGAAAGAGGAAAAAACAGAAGAAAGCAAGCGTCGAAGGAGGTTGTTCCACATTCTGCTTCATACCTTTTCCCACAATCTGGTCGCGTCCACTTCATTGTGTCTGTGGGGAGGAGCCTTCCGAACGGCATCTCTCTTTGTCAAGCAGATCAATCCAATCGACATTCATTTGATGTTTTTACTAGAGGTGGACAAATTGATTGAAATGCTCGAACGGCCGTTGTTTCGGTAAGATTGCAATGACATGCTACTTTAGATTTATTGTTGGCACCACCTTTTGGCTGACTATGTTTGTTGCTTTATTGAATACGCAGCCACTTGCACATTCGGATGCTGGAAGAAGACAAAAATCCAATGGCAGAGGGTAGCGGTACGATGCTCTTCCAAACTTTGAGATCGCTACTAATGTGTATTCCACAGAGTACTTGCTACACTGTCCTCCGAGATCGACTGGTCAGCATTTCTCGATTCCGTCAATCGGGAGTCAATGCGCGATCGGAGGACCACACGATCCTACCCGACACGGAGATATTTGTCAATCGAGTACTAGAAGTTCGAACTCTGCATTGTGATGCTTTGTGGGAGACCATCAGAGCAGAAAGTATTGAAGCGATTGGTTTTAGCGAATCCAAATCGGAAACAGCACAAGAAACAAAGGATCCCGGCACTGATCGAAGAGAGTGGCTGGGATACGCTTCGAAAGAGGAAGAACTTGAAACCCAAGCAAAATTGCGAGACGAGAAGATGAGGCGTCATGAAGCTGGGCTGACCATCGAGGAAGTGAGCAATAGCTACAACGATTTCAACTCGATGGAGAAAGATGGCGGTATGAAGGATCTATTGCCGAATGATGACGAAGATGAGTCATGGAAGCAGCAATGGGCGGGAAGTGATGAAACTTAGCGAAATAACCAAATTTTGTTTTTGAATGAAGTAGATACTGTGACAATTACTTCATCATTACCTTATATTGATGGTTAGGTCCAGTTTAAGCTCTCAAACCCCCAAAAAGGCACATCGGCAGATATAACTTGGTATGGGGATTGTCTTGATGCCATTGTGGTGACACAGCATTTCTGCCGTGTTTGCGCCTGGAATTGATCGGCACCACCAAACTCCGTCAGCTGCGCGTTCAAAGGAGCTACATTCGATTGGGAGGGCACCCATTCGTTATCAGAGCACAAGACATCCAAACCACGGACTGTTGCATTTCGTTTGCAATAAAGTAGCGTCTTGAGTGCCGGTGCAATTCCAGACTGGAGACTGCTAGTCATCCAGCGTTCCCTTCATTCGCCCACATAAGTCAAACTCTTGTTTCCGTTGAGACAACTCCACAAAATTAGCTCCCTTACTCAGCTACGATTCGCCAACAGGCGATTCAGCAAGGATCTATGCGCTTCCATGTGTCGTTTCGTGTAAGGATGGTCGTCTCCAACCATTCTTCGACAAATTTTAAGGGATTCTGCACTCGCCGCAATGGTATCTTCCAGCAACCTCTGATCATCTTTCACAGCCGAAATATTCTCGTAGGCTGCAATTAAATTGGGGTCGACACTTGAGGTTTCCTTGTAAATATCAAGCGCCTTTTGGAAGAGTTGTATCGCCTTTTCTATATCACTTTACCCTTTCATTGCGAGTCCCTGCTCGTTCAGTACTCTCGCATTTTTCTCGGGTTTTCACCATGCAAGATCGAGCACAAGCTTTTTAAATGGATGATCATTGCCCCACACCTTTCGAGTAGCGTTAATGGTTCTTTTGTACGCCTTGATGGTACCTACTATCATGCCTCGTCGGAAGTATGCCAGTGCAAGGGCTTCATAGGTCTCTGCTGCTGTGGGGCTCTTACCTACAGTACCGGTTCCATTTGAATCATTTGTACTTTGTGCAGTGTGTAATGTACCGGTATTGTACTTATTGTATAGCCCTTCAATAAGAAATACGATTGTCCTTGGAGAAACCCGGATTCTTACTCGCGTTGATCAGTCACTTATTAGAACAGATGGGACGCTTTCTGACAGCTGATCGCAAATTCTGTGAAGAATGTGCTAAATATCTAGCTCGTCAGTGTGTGATTTCATTCTAATGAGGCACATGTCGAAACAGATGGGACGCTTTCTGACAGCTGATCGCTAATTCTTTGAAGAATATGCTAAATATCTAGCTTTAGCACAGGAATTCAGTCGTAAGATTGTAACAAATCACACCAAGTTCCAGGTGACGGTGGGTATCGTAGAACGAAAGCGCGCGGTCCATTCCGTTTCTTCGCAGTGAGACAAGCTGAACCAACTCAAAGTAACACAAAAGTCCGTGGAGAGCCAATCTATTGGTCTACTACCAGTTATTACAGCTACAAGTATTTGGGATGGACATAGGGGAGACTGTGCAGGACATTTCGCATCGAAAATAGAGCCTTTCAGCGGAGGAGAGACACCATGTTGACATCTGAAGTATGAAAGGCAAGAAGAACATTGAATGCAGACGCTCTTTTCTCATCATTCTATCGACATGCGTATTATGCGTTTCACTTCATCAGGGGGCAATGGGAAAGTAACAGAATATCGAAGGGAAGTGTCACAAGCTGCCATGAGTGGTCCAAGGAGTTGTTGACCTGGGCCTCCTCAGAGGCCTAATAAAACTCGAACGAGCGACGAAGCGTATTGCTCTTTATGTGTTTCTAGGTGTTGAAAAGTTTCACCTAGGGAGGGATTGGGATCTTGGGCCACTAACAACTCAAGAGAGACGAGGCGTGTCATGTCTCGTCAGAAGGATAGAAAGGCAATGAAGTCAATATTCGCTTACGACTCCTCCTGGCGCCACGATTCAATGATTTGTTTGTTCACAGCCATATCAGCATCATACCACCATATGATTCATAAAGCGCACAGTTGCTCGAAAGAAAGGACAATAAACGCTTCACTGGGGCTCGCCAATCCTTGGAGCATACATTTGAAATATTCATGTTGCTGAGCATACAGGCCACTACCTGTGAATGACAACTTTTTTCCAAAGGATGGTTGGGCCGACACCGAAAGTATGACAGGTCCACGATATATGATAATAGTGTGTGGTCATTGAAGTCGGTATCCCAGACGACGATGGCCGCGGTGAAGAAGTGATTCACTCGCTGGCGGCCCTTTAGCACCAACCAAGGCATCTTTCGCTACACTTTTCCTTTCAACTCAAACGATTGTCTGGCAGCTTTCAGTTTGCCTGTCGTTGTACTTGGGCAACCGAGACATGCAGCTTGTGATCTCTGATAAACGACTTCCTCGCAGTGATGGGCTCGACAGCTGGTGTAGGTTTTGACAAAAGATAAGGCTGGTTCCCGACAATTGTGAGTTGTTGTCCCCCGCCTTACCAGTGTTGCCAAACACACTTCATCATTGAACATAGAAGCTCATAGTATCGAGAAGTGCAACCTCGCATCTCTAGTGATTGAATCTCTCATTGTGGGCTCACCAACCGGTGCAGGTTCTGCGGCTGACAAAAGAAAGCAAAACGCTGATGATTCCTCCTAAAATTTGTGAGTTGTTGCCCCACTTCCTACCAGTGCTGACCAACAAAGTTCACCATTGGACATAGAAGCTCATAGTATCGCCACACTCCAAGGTGGACATCATGCATGGAGATGCCAGGGACGCCAAGTTCGCTTTACGACGAGCATCATCTAATACCGAAAGGCGCAATCTGCGCTCCATATATGCGGGATAACCCTAACTGTAGCACGCAGAATTGCCGGTTTATTCCGCGGGTTTCGTACGAAAATTGGGGGGAAATTGCATATATTTTATGAGCTCGATCTGCTGGTGCTGCTGATGTGAACGGTAACGATATATTGAGCGACAGTCGTTTTCTTTTTGTCTTTTCTTTTATATTTCAAGGGCTATAGGAAGGCCCAGCAGCCATTCAATTGATACGATTTCAGCAGGTACATCAACTAGATGGATGATACCGCCAAGCAATCAGCAAGCGAGGCATTGTCTGATGAGGAGCCAAAGCTAGAAACCAAATCGTCTGCTGCCGCGACTGCAACTGTCTGGTCGACTGCCGATGATGATTGTATTCTGTTTGGCAGAGGGAAAGGTTGCAATAATCATCCTGGAAACAAGAGAATGCGGCTTGTCATAGAAGGTTACAGAGATCGGTATCAAGGTGCCGGACGCGGAGGGAAGAGAAAGCTTGTCCATGAAATCTACAAAGAACTGATCGAAGCAGGGATGAAATTTTTGAAGCAGGAAGAGGGACTAGATGGATGGATTGAAGCGGACGCTGATGAGGCTATCAAGAAGGTGGGCCATGCAATGCGATGTCCAAGAATCAGAATACGAACTGAGGCAGACTTGGGTGACAAACGTAGTGGTGCCAGTGGTTTCTCAGCAGCAGCGTACCCACACGCAGGAGCTCATACTGGCCAAGTACTGGAAAATAATTCGGCTGGCATTGGTCGAGAGCGCGTTTCTGGGCTGCTAGCTTTTTCTAGGATGTCCACTGTTGCAAGAGCTGGATTCCTGTCACGGGGCACGATGGGACATCAGGAGACGCTGAGAGGGGCCTTGCCTATGGTATCCGGCCCACCCTTACTTCCTTTGGGACATATTCCAATGCAAATAGATCTGCCGTCCTTGTACGCAGGTGCACCGGCATCGATGGGATTCGCGGCACCAGCCATGCGCCTGAATGGATTGTCATCATCTCTTGAGTTGTTGGTTATGGTTGAGAGGGAGCGCCGGCTTCGACAAGCCAGGCTGAGCAGCCATATCAGAAGGAATACAGAACAGCGCTGAAGCATGTCATATTGCAACTATATACTGTGGAGAGCTACTCTTCACGAATCAGTGGACTCAACAAAGCTCATATGAAGTTTGGATCCAGCAACACTGCTTGGTGCGAAAGGACTGATCCAGCCACAACCGTTGGGAAAGGGCAAAAAGTGTGATTATTTCCTCCCATAACAGTACACGTACCCAATCATCATACCGATGCTACTTCGCGAGCCCGCTAGTAACCGCATCTCCCGGGACCTTCATCATTATCACTTTCACGATCTATATTCTGTCTTGGATGAAGAATCTGAAGTGGAGCTATGGTTGGTTGCTGCATACAAGATGATTGATTGGAGGAAGTGTCGGCTGCACCGTGCTAGTCTACAATATATATTGCTGACACAACCATCTGCTTTCTATTCGGACAACTCTGTATCTACGGTATTAAGGAATACGAATCGTAGGATCGTTTGGGGACACTGTTCTTGTATACGGGAGCCCTTTAACAACAAATACGACTGTCGCAGGGAATGTGAAAAGCCTGGAGCCGCAGGACTATATGCGTACAAGTAGCAGGTACTCGCTCCTCACTCGTCATGCAACGCACAGAAGCCAGATGAGACCCATTAAGACGTGCGTATTACTGCTATTCTCATTTCCTGTCAAACGTACATTTTCTCTTGAGACGTGCCTATGGTTGGCATGTTTCGCCCAACGATGACATTAGCCTCATAAAGTGCAGCGGGACAACTTTATTTGAAGCATTCGAACAGAACAATGACATTCTCGAACATTACTGATGATTGGACGATTCAATCCACTGTGGAAAGTACTTCTGGTGTGGAAGCCATGGATGCCACGGTCGTGGACCAACCCACCACATTTAATGTACTTAAGCTTTCTGTGAATCCCAAGTACGACTCGGTGGGCATCAATTCAGCCAACAAAATTTGGACTTCTGCTTGTGTTTCGATTGAAGCTTCTGACATGCCAGAAGAAATGAATGATCGAACCAGCGCTTTGGATATTGTGGTTGCTTTGGATATCTCTGGTTCCATGTCCGGTCAAAAGCTTAATGATTGTAAGAGTACCTTGGAAGCGATGTTGCGACCGCTTGGCTCGAAGGATCGTTTTGGCTTAATTGTCTTTGGGAGCCGTGTGAGGGTTATCATTCCAGCTGCGATCATGAACAAGGAAAATAAGGAGAGTGCATTGAACCAGATCAAACAAATCAACACCGAAGGCTGCACCAACCTATCTGGTGGTCTGATGATGGCATGGAAAGAACTCTTGCTCATTTGCAACCCAAACTCTGTTCGCTCTCTCTTTTTGCTGACTGATGGTCTGGCAAACGAAGGCATCCAGAATACCAACACTTTGGTGCAAACAGTAAATCGTCTCACCGCGGACTCTGCCACAGGCGTGTCTGCTGCATTAACCGACGGCCTGTGGACGAGTAGCACTATAAGTGCTCAATTGGTCGTCAATGCCCAACTAGATATCACAGCGGAAAATATCCAAGCACCCGTCTCGTTGTTCTGTTTCGGATATGGGTCCGACCATAACTCCGACATGCTCCAAGGTCTCTCGGAAGCAACAGCTGGTGGAGGTTACTATTTTGTGGAAAACGATTCCGATGTATACGCTGCATTTGGAGATGCCATGGGTGGCATCATGTCCATCATGGCACAAAGCGCCGTGCTAAAGGTTTCTGTCCCTTCTGAGGCAGCCACCAACGGAGTCAAGATTCGCGACGTCCATCATGACAAAAAGATTAATCGAGGTGATGGTACTTTTACTGTCAATATTGGTGATTTCTATGCTGAAGAACACCGGGACGTGATTGTGGACTTTGATCTTTCCAATGTCGCGAGTGACGAGCCCGTCCCACATTTCGTTGCGTCGCTTTCGTACATGGAGGTCTTGAGCAAGAAGCCTGCACAAACAGAGCCACGAAGCTGCAATGTTGCCCGTCCAGATAGCAATGAGATCTCAGCCATTAAAAAATACGTCGAGAGCCAATGGATGCGAATCTGGGTCGCTCGAGAATTGGAAGAGGCTGACAGAGAAGCAAGAAACAATCAGCGTGCCCAAGCCGAGGCCCGTCTGCAAAACATGGCTGCTGCAATCAAAGCATCGGAAGCCTATGACAAGGATGACGAAACATTCTCAAAGTTGGAACTCAAGCTTTGTCATGCCATGCAAGACTACGAAGAAGTCACATACAGTGGGCATCGATCCAAGAATATGTACCGATCTATGAAGCAGCAACGCGCGTGTGCTTCTACATCAGGCGTCGACGCTTGCTATCAGAATAAATACAAGATGAAGATGTCCAATGCCTTCAAGAAGCCCTAGACGGAAGAAAGAAGGACGACATAATACTCCAATCGAAAAAGCACTTTTTAAAAGTGCAATTTTGGGTTGCCGGTCATATCATATTCAACATAAAACTCATAGCATCTTTAAACCATTCCTCTAAATTCATTTGAACTACTTTGACGAATCGTAGGTTCGATGATAGAAAAGTTTCTCCCGCAACCCGCATATCCGCAAACCCCACCGGCATTCCCGAGTTCCCAGATTTTTCTCCCGTGGAGTAGTATTTAAATAGGCATCTGTGGAGTACATTGGTAGTTTTAAAAAATACCGGTACGAGAAGTAGGTACACGTGTACCGGTACCGGTAGGTACGAACGAATGAAAGTTTACGATTATTTTAAAAATTGATTCATTCGAACCGGTATATATTCGCACACAATAATAATAACATACAACGCAAACCCTTCAACGATGACGGCAAGTCTTCTCCAAACTCTTGCAACAAGTAGCATAAAGCCGAACACCGCTCATGTCACCCTGCTGTCCTTAGCTGCAACAGCGGTTACCATTTATACAGTTTCGTCTGTGTTAGCATTTCAAAAGAGAAGAAAACTTCCAGATGGTGTGCGTCTTCCTCCTCATTTGACATCTTACGTCCCGTACATTGGTGTTGGTTTGCAATTTGTCAGCAGGTTAATCGTGGATTTCATATATGATACTGCCAAAAAGTTGGATGCTCCAGTCTTTACTGCGACTGTCAACGGGACGACATGTGTATTCATCGAAGATCCGGATTTGGTATTTACCCCATTCAAAGATTCGATTCAAGAAATTGATTCTTCGTCCTTGCGACGGCAAGCCTTGGTGACTCTTTGTGGGATAGATCCAGTTACTGCGGAAGAAATTACAAATGACGAGGAAGTACAAAAGGTTGTGTTTGCAGATTTCCACAAACTCAAGGCGGATCAACTGTACAAGAACATGGAGGCTGTGCAAAGAGTCATTGGAGGCAGACTTGAAGCCATGGGTCTATCAGAGACTGATGGCGAGTGGAAATCTGTCCGTATGTTTGAGTTTGTAAGAGAGTTTATCTTTTTCGCCTCTGTTGGGCCCGTTATCAGCAATGGGCTAATGACACAAGACCAAATCATTGAAACGTATGCCAAGTTCGAAGAAGGCGTTCCAAGCCTCTATGCCGAAGCCCCATCCTTTATTACGAAAGAGAATACCGATGCTCGTGAGCGACTGGTTCAGATGCTTATGACGCCTAAAGTTGACGAGGGTTTATCCGAGTTTATGAAAGCAAGGAAGCCTATATATGGCCACATTCCTGAGGTACTTGCTCGAATGAACGTTGGACTCATCGTCGCCACTGTGTCGAACTCCGTTCCGGCTGTCTTTTGGGTACTTTGTCAGTTGCTGAAAACTCCGAAAGCATTCGAGGCATGCGCCAAGGAAGTCAAGCATGTGGCCGATAAGAAAGCAAATAAGGAGGATCCATTCACCTTGGAAGAGCTTGATAAAATGCCACTCTTGGAATCTTGCTTCAAGGAGTGCCTACGAATGTACCAATCCGCCTTCATCGTTCGCAGTGTCACAGGAGACTTCGTCCTCAATCCCAAGGAAAGTAGTGGTCCCAAATACTTGATTGAAAAAGGAACCCGTATCATGGCATACTCTGCTACAGCACACATGCACCCTTCTATTTTTGAGAATCCCGAAACCTTTCAATATGACCGATTTCTCGATCCTACCAAGAAAGCGTTGAACGGTAAACGCTTATTAAGTTATTTTCGTCCATTTGGGGGTGGTATGCACTTGTGTCCTGGGCGCAAATTCATTTCCTACGAGTCTCGAGTCTTCTTGGCCATGTTGCTTCTGAAACTGGACATGAAACTGGAAGATCCAAGCGAGCCAATACCAACTATTGCTTTGCATCATCAGGGCTTCTCAGTCGCTCACCCAAACCAGGACCCAAAGCTCTTGGTGAAGGTCAAGGAGTCAAAAGCATGAACAAACTAGTCTACATTTGGTACTAGGGAAGGATGATACTAACTTTTTTATTTTAAAAAGAACAGTAGAATGAGTTGGAGCAGCAGGGTATTGTGTTTCGACCTATCCCTGCTTTTGACGATGGCTCATCAGAGGCGTTTGATGCCGTTTGCAAAATATGACATATGTATCATGTATATCTCGCCGCCACCTGCAGTATATACAGCGCAGTGGACAGAGTGGTGACGTAATATCCTTCTTTCTTGACATGGTATATAAATATTATAAAATACTGTAGCACACTGAAGCTCGATGAACTGATTGGATCTTCCGTCTACGTTCGAGTAAATGCGAATATTTTTGGTTGACTGACTCACATTTGCGACGAGTCGTCGTCCATAACCATCAGCAGCAAAAAGGAAAGATGACCCTTGCAACAAGTAGCACGAAGCCAGACTCCGTTCATGTCACACTACTTTCCATAGCTGCAACAGCAGCTACAGTCTACACAGTTTCTTCTGTTTTGGCATTTCAAAAGAGACGGAAACTTCCAGATGGTGTTCGTCTTCCTCCTCATTTGACTTCTTATATTCCGTACATTGGCGTTGGATTGCAATTTGCCAACGGCTTAATCCTGGATTTCGTTTCGGATACTGCCAAAAAGCTAAATGCCTCAGTCTTTACTGCCACTGTCAATGGGACGAAATGTGTATTCATTGCCGATCCGGATTTGGTATTTACTGTTTACAAAGACTCGATTAAAGAGGTTGATTCTATATCCTTGCAAAAGCAAGCCATGACAACTCTTAGTGGGATCAACCGTAGCGCTGTAGACGAATTTATGGATAACAATAAGGAAGTACAGAAGGCTGCGTGGGGACAATTCCACAAATACTTCTTTCAATCTGATCAGGTGTCCAAAAACATTGAGGCCGTGCAAAGAGTCATTGGGGGTAGACTTGAAACCATGGGTCTATCCAAGGCTGACGGCGAGTGGAAATCTTTCCATATGTTTGAATTTGTACGGGAATTTAGCTTTTTCGCCTCTGTTGGACCACTTCTCAGTAATGGGCTATTAACACAAGACCAGATCATCGAAACGTATGCCAAGTTTGAAGAAGGAGTGCCACTGTTATTTGCCGAAGCTCCATCGTTGTTGACGAGAAATACCGCCGCTGCTCGTGAGCGCGTGGTTCAAATGCTCATGACGTCTGAAGTCGACGAAGGTTTATCCGAGTTTATGAAAGCAAGAAAGGTTACACTTGGTCATCTACCTAAGGAGGTACTTGCTCGAATGAACCTTGGACTCATCGTCGCCACTGTGTCGAACTCCGTTCCGGCTGTCTTTTGGGTACTGTGTGAGTTGATGCACAATCCGAAAGCATTCGAAGCATGTGCCAAGGAAGTCAAGCACGTCTCCGACAAGAAGGCAAATAAGGAGGATCCCTTCACCATGGAAGAGCTTGATGAAATGCCACTCTTGGAATCCTGTTTTAAGGAGTGCCTACGAATGTACCAAGCCAGCTTCTCTGTTCGCAATGTGACAGGAGACTTCATCCTGAATCCTAAAGAAAAGAATGGTCCCAAATACTTGATTGAAAAAGGAACCTGCATCATGGCCTACACTGCAACAGCACACATGCACCCTTCTATTTTTGAGAATCCCGAAACGTTTCAATATGACCGATTTCTCGATCCCACCAAAACAGCATTGAACGGTAAACGGTTGCTGAACTACTGGCGACCATTCGGTGGTGGTGCCCACTTGTGTAGCGGACGAAAATTCATTTCCTATGAGGTCAGAGTCTTCTTGGCCATATTGCTTCTGAAAGTGGACATGAAACTGGAAGATCCAAGCGAATTAAAACCAGCTATTGCCTTAGATCGACAAGGCTTCTCCATCGCTCACCCAAATAAGGATCCAACATTGTTGGCGAAGATGCGGGAATCTTAATATGGAACAACGCTGTGGAGGAACTAGAATCATTCTAAGATAACAGTGTAGTCATCAGTTCCATCAATCACGCTTCTTGTTTTTAAGTCATATGCCCGCTTGCCAAGATGTGATCGTACACCAAACTCAGTCGTTTCAAAATATGCGACTGTGGTGTAAAGTCAACGTCCAACATATCCAGCAAGCAGTTAGCATTTTCCCCCAGTAGTCCCAATCCCCTGTCCAATTGATCTTTGTCCACGTTTCGTGCCGCAAAGAGTGGATACAAATTGTGGCTATTGTTGCTTGTGGCTGCCATGGCCGCAATGGATAGAACGGGAGACGAGGAACCTCCTCCAGTGCCCCCGTCCCCGCCGTTACCGCCATCTTGTTGAATCGCCGATCGGGACGAGTTACAATAGACCTTGTGTCGCAATCCAATGCCCGAATATTTGCTCATGAGAAAAATCAAATGCGAGCAAAATCCCAAGGCTGCCGACAATTCTTCATCTGGAACCACGGTCGTTTTGAGGTCGACTGGAAGCCGCAAATTGCGAATCAAGAAACCCTTTTGCGAATCCAAGGTAATCGGGTAAACCCATTGGTGCAAATCTCGAAACCAATGTATGGATTGCGCATCCCTTGCGAATTTAGCTCGATGAACGTGCTGCGATTGAATCATAATTTCTGTCTTGAGACGATCCGTTTGCGATTGCAAGTTCTGGGCGGTCTGAACCATGTTGGAAAGGGATTCTTTTTCCTGTAAAGAGGAAATGCATGATGATAAGGAGCAGACAAAGGGAGTATATGATTTGAGTAATCTATTGCAAATGAGCACCAGGTCAAGCACCTTGAGCGTACCTTTTCCAAGTGTTCCAACTCTTCTCGGAATAGCTTCTCTTCTCGTTCAATTTGTTCCTCCAACGACATCGCCTCCTTGTTCAGATCGTGCTGTAGTACTTCTTGTTCGGAATGCTCAAAGATAAAACCCGAGGGCCCAGTGCCGGCAGCAGAATCCAGCAAGGACCCAGCTGCCGACGATTGCTGAAGCAGCACACTGCTTGGTTCTCGTTCCACGTCCAAGAGAGAATCGGCTCTTCCACGCCGACCGGATGGAGATGAGCTGCAGTTGGGTTTCGGTGACTCGGGTACCACATCCAAGGTCGAAAAGACGTCATCCTCAAATCGAGAAAAGTCTTCAATCGGTGGCGGCTTGGTCATTCGTTGGTCCAGAAGCAATTGAAAAATGGATTCGGGCAGCCGGGTCGATCCGTCGGAAAAGTAGACAAAGCACGCATTGGGCGGCAATCGGTCCGGAGTTTCTTCGGAATCAAGTTTGTGTAACTCAGATGGGTAAAGGGGAATTTCCAAAAACAACTTGCCATCGGGCAACAGAAACCTTAGCTTCATAGTCTTGTACACTCCAGCATTTGTTGGATTCTTGATATTGCCATCTGTCTTGCTGCCATTGTAGTGTAGCCACCATTCACCTTGCAAATTAATTCGTTCGTCCAAATGTTCCCAAGATGGATGCACCCTTTGCGAAGTTTCCGAAAAAACGACTTGATTGTCGTGAACCACAATTTCCAATGTTATAGGAGGAATCAGATTGCGATTGTGTTCGACTCGGCCAAAGGAAGATTTGGCAGAAGCTGTGTTACTGGTGGAAGATGTCAGCAAATCTTCAATAGAAGATGACGACCGGATCCCAGCGGATGACGGGGGATTTAACAGAAAGTTATGAAGAGTAACAGCAATGGGTATGGGAATTTTGGTATCATAGTGATCACCCCAACGGCGAATGCTGTTCCTTGCTGCCGGGAACATTATAAAGGGTAACGCTGTCACTAGAAGCTTCTCCTTCCCCGCTTTGAACTATGGCTGTATTGTCGAGTGCTCCGCCTTATTGTGAATCTAAAAGGTGAATGTTGGGTCTTGTCTCGTTGCGTGTTACAGCATATTCAATATGTGATTTTCCTCTCCCGTTTTGAATGTGTGTTGGGTCGGTTTGGTCGTTCGTTCGTTGCCGCGCAACAGGTCTGCGCACGACTGTGTACTGTCAATTTTCAGGTGTTGTTTTATATTGTTAAAACTCGGTCATCTCCGGTGTAGAAAACAGTCCATGTGTATTCTAGAAACGCAAAAGAAGGAAGGCGATACAACGACTCCAAGAGGCGCTGGATCTTTCGAAGGAATTCCCCGGTGGCGGTCCAAGTTACACCGAAGCCTACGATAATATTTCGGCTGGTTGAGGAACTCCTCGAGCAGTTCCACGTCTATTACGATCAAGGAACCCATCAAAAGGCAAGGGGGACTTTGGAGAGAGTGTTGGACATACAAATGAATGATTTACGTGAAGACGATCTTGCTGTGGCCACGGCGCACCATGGCCTGGGAGCTATTTTGAAGTGGGAAGGAAGCTTTAATGATGCCTTGATATTTTTCGAAAGTGCACTCGCCATACGTCTGGAAAAATTGGGAAGGCATCGTGATACCGTGGAAGCTTAGAAAAGAGATAGGCTGTGTCCTTGAATCACAAAAAGAAGCGGAAGAAATGTTCCGGAAAGCTCTGGATATCAAGCTCGAAGTTCTGCCAAACAATCATTCTGAAGTGATGGATCTGTATATGTACCTTGCGACATCGTTGAAAAAGCAAGGCAAGTTTCCAGAAGCAACCAAGATACACAAACTCCAACTTGAACCACTAGTTGAAATGCATGGGGAAGACCACCCAGGTGTGGTACTTGCATACAATGGTATCGCAGCACTGCTTGCACTGCAAAATAGATTAGACGATGCTCTTCAGATGCTTGACAAAGCCATCGAAATTTGCTATCGATTGCCACGGCTTGGTGACCTAGACATTGGTATATTGGGAGGAACACTCCTCAGCAAAGCAAAAACGCTCGAAGACCAAGGCAACGTCGAGGCGGTCGTAGAGACGCTCAACAAAGTACTAACGATTCAAGTGGAACCGGTTGGTGAAATGAACCCCAGAACAGTAAAGACCTATGAAGAGCTTGCCCTGGCATACGTCCGACGGGGCATGACAGAAGGTGCCATCAAAGCATACACAAAAGCCATAAAGTTGGTGAAAAAATCTTTGGCAATGAACATCCCTACACTGAAAAGCTTGTGCTGAAGCTTGCAAAACTCGAGCGGGAGAACATAAGGGAGCACCGAACAAACAATCGCCTGGCACAACGGAACCCCGAGGCTTTGACCCCAAACCTAACTATTGGTCTTCCACTGAAGCTAGAAGCCTATTTGGACTCATCAATCCTGACGATGAGTCCGAAAACGAGGGTGTCCCTGACCGTGTTAAGGAATTACAAAACTAAGGCTTGCATACCAAACACGAGGAGGCTGGAGAAACGTTGTAGAAGAGGCCGAGTCGTTTACTGAAGACTTACAAAACTAAGGCTTGCATACCAAACACGAGGAGGCTGGAGAAACGTTGTAGAAGAGGCCGAGTCGTTTACTGAAGACTTACAAAACTAAGGCTTGCATACCAAACACGAGGAGGCTGGAGAAACGTTGTAGAAGAGGCCGAGTCGTTTACTGAAGACGAGGTATTCTTTCTCAGATGGAAGTGCGAATATGTTGCAAAGTCATTGCAGATTGCTCTTACAGTGGACGTCCCTGGAAGAGTTGTTGTGCTGTAGCCATCGAAAAGTACAACGAATTCTGGGGCGTGAAGCATACCACGAGCCAAAAACAGTCATGAAGCACTACAATAGCTAAAACAATAACAAAGAGAACTTTACGAAATGAGCAACAATCTATTTGGGTCCAACTCATTTCAATAGCTTCCGCAATATCAACGACAACTTTCGGAAATGAGATGGTCCAGCTCTCGCTACTCCTGTCTTTTAATAACATGCACTCATTTTTAGCATATATTACAATAACGCTATCGTAGCCTCGTTCACAACTATTATTCGTAGACCAAGCAAATCTCTTCGGAACCTGCTTTCGAGGCTCAAGAGGTCGGTTGGGTCGTTATTTTTTCTTCTTGTTTCGTATCGTTTCACGTCGCGGTTGTGATTGGTTAAATCAATCATGTCTGGCCTACCTACCGTCACCTTCTCATCTAAAATCTAATGCCGTCAGCCGTACAGACAGTGTATCCACGCGTCACAGGTTTGAACAAATTCGGCTGTGCGAGGACCTCAAGACGGAACTTTCATCGTCAAACGTGACAGCCGACAATAGTGCGTGCATCATACGAAACGTGCGGTTATCTTGTGACATCACACAACGCTTGAAACTTTATCACATCACATCGTTTTCGGTGCTTGCAGTTTCCGATTTGTTACCTTATACCCGTACTAAAAGTTGCTGGCAGAACACAATAAGAATCTTTTTCTGGTCGATCAATTGTCATAGATTTACACCAACACGCACACAACAAAAAGACTCCTCAATAGAATGTTCACTTCGCATTTGGTGTTCCTTGCGTTAGCAGTGACCAATCAATTCTTGGCTTCTGCTTTCACGCCATTTTCCACGAAGAGTGCTTCACCTTCTGTTTTGCAGGCCACAGTCCCCGACTTTAATGCGGTCGATGTCGCCAAAACTGGAGGTCGAGGCGCTGACACTGCATCCCAAAAGGCTGCGGAACAAGGTTTGAGCTTGGGTGCCCCTCGCAGACGTCCCAATGGCGGACATTTCTTGACCAAGGGTGGAATCCAAGTCACGGCCCATGTCCAAGGTTTGGAATTTTCAAAATCCAACACTCCAGGGACTTCGGAATCTGCAATTAATTATTTGATTGATCAATTGGATAGTCACAAGGGTGCTTTGCTGACTTCCAGCTATGAATTTCCCGGACGATATGCTCGATGGTCACTTGGATTTGTGGATCCCCCCCTCGAAATTTCAGGGAAAGCAGACAAGTGTACCATCAAGGCCTTGAACGACCGGGGACGAGTACTGATGCCAGCCATCGAACAAACTATGAAGGAATTGAAAAACAATAAGATTTTGTCGGAGGTGCAATCCTTTGAATATGCCAATGGAGAAGGTATCGGTGTTGGTGGAGTGACCCAAATTGACGTCACTGTAGTTCCACCTGGTGAAGTGGGAAGCTTCAGTGAGGAAGAACGTTCAAGACAGGTACGAATGGGTCTAGATTTTTTGGAAGGCGAAAAATGCGTCTTTGGGTCTTCTGATGATAGTGTCTCACTGCTTGGTTGTTGATTCGTTGATTCGTTGCAGCCATCCCTCTTTTCTGTCGTTCGTGCGCTTGTCGACTTGTTTGGATACGAAGGTGGAGATGGGCAATTGGGTCTCTATGGTGCCTTTGGATACGATTTGACCTTTTCGTTTGAACCCATCGATTTGGCTCAAGAGCGCGATCCTGAACAACGAGACATTTTGCTGTATTTACCAGATTCCGTCTATGTGATTGATGCCGACAAGCGAGATGCTTGGCAAATAACCTATGACTTTGCTGTTGATCAAAAGTCGACTCAAGGATTGCCTCGATTGGGCCAAGAGGATCGCTTTGCCGCGTTTAATGAATCCAAGGATGGAGCTAGCTTTTCCGATCGGGATACCCCCGTTGGTGAATTTGCCGATAGCGTGGAAGCAGCCAAGCGTGAATTTGCGGTTGGAAACTTGTTTGAAGCAGTCTTGTCCCAAACCTTCCGTTCCAAGTTGGACGAGGAGACTCCTCCTTCCCTCATTTTCCGTCGTTTGCGCAAGCGTAATCCTGCTCCGTATGGGTTCTTTATCAACTTGGGGGAACAAGAATATTTGGTCGGTGCCAGTCCCGAAATGTTTGTTCGTTGCGAATCCATTCCCGAAAACGATTACCGCCCTGGAGCCATTCGCGTCGAGACTTGTCCCATTTCTGGAACTGTCGCTCGTGGTGAAAATGCTTTGGAAGATGCCAAACGTGTCAAGAGTCTCATGATGAACCAAAAAGAAGAAAGTGAATTGACCATGTGTACCGATGTCGATCGTAATGACAAGTCCCGTATTTGCGAACCGGGGTCCGTCCAAGTCATTGGCCGTCGTCAAATTGAAATGTACAGTCGGTTGATCCACACGGTCGATCACGTGGAAGGATACCTCCGACCCGAGTTTGACGCGTTGGATGCCTTTTTGTGTCACACCTGGGCCGTGACTGTAACGGGTGCTCCCAAGACTTGGGCCATTCAGTTTGTGGAAGACAAAGAGCGATCCCCTCGCTGCTGGTATGGAGGTGCCATTGGATTGGTCGGATTTGATGGAAGTCTTAACACTGGACTGACTCTTCGAACTGTCCGTATCAAGAATGGAGTTGCCGAAGTCCGTGCCGGAGCAACTTTGTTGTACGATTCCAGTCCACCCGCCGAAGAACTCGAGACCGAATTGAAGGCTTCTGCCATGATTGATGCTGTCACTCGCAAAGGAAAGACGGACATTGCCAGCTTGGAAGGCGATGAATTGGTCCCCATTCCCGAAAAGGTTGGAACTGGCAAGACCATTGTCTTGATTGATCATGAGGATTCCTTTGTCCATACACTTGGAAACTATCTCCGTCAAACCGGTGCTCAGGTGTCTACTCTTCGTAGTGGACCTTCTGCTTTGGCTGCTATCGAAACGATGATTGAAAAGGGAAACAAGCCGGATATGGTAGGTCGTAATCATTACAATTGTTGGAATACTGCATTGCTTGGGTGGCACATCATCTCACTAATCTTTTCATTTGTTGCTTAGGTCGTCCTCTCTCCTGGACCAGGAAACCCATCCGACTTTGCTTTGTCCGCATCCATTGACTGTCTCATCAAGAACAAGATTCCCGGGTTTGGGGTCTGCCTTGGATTGCAAGGAATGGTCGAGCATTTTGGTGGAACTCTTGGAGTTTTGGGATACCCCATGCATGGAAAGCCATCTGAGATTGCCCTCACTCGCGAAGGTGTCAAGGATGGCAGCATTTTCACTGGACTTCCTGAAGTGTTCGAGGTTGCCAGATATCACTCTTTGCACGGTATCAAGGACAAGATGCCTGACGATCTTCAGATTACTGCCTTGACGGAAGATGGGATTGTCATGGGAATCCAACACAAAACCTTGCCCTTTGCTGCTGTCCAATTCCACCCCGAATCCATCCTCACCAGTCCTGCACACGGAATGACCATTTTGGAGAATGCCTTGCGCAACCTCAAGTACGAAGAAGAGGAATTTGCACCCAAGTCGGGTTCTCAAATCGTCGGAACACTGGAACAATTGTCCTTGGAAGAACTGCAATCCACACTTACGGACTTGGGTTTGGTGACCACTGGATCAAAGAGTGAACTAGTAGTCAGATTGACACTGTATACTCACAAGAGCAACGAAATGAAGGCTGGCAGATTATCTCTGTCGGACCTTGACCATTCCGAATTGGACCAATTGGCCCAAGGGATTGGTCTCAAGGCAGAGGAATCCAAACTGCTGGAGTCCTTGGAAACATCTTTGATGCAGTAAAATTATCATAGTGCTATTTTAATACATTATCTTTTCAAATCTCTACTCTTTTATTAGGCACAAAAAGTGTGCGTGGTCAATTTCTGGCAGTGACTTTAAATGGGGTGGATTGGTCCATTCCACAACATCAAGGGCACCGTAGCTGGTCTTTAATTCTGTATCGGCTTGTTCGATTTCAGTGGGCGTCAAGTCCTCTTTTATCTTCCATAAAATGTAATGTATAATGTTGGGAGCTGTATAGTATGGAAAGTCATTCTTTACCAGAGTCTTGCGTGGGATTTTGGATTCCTGAAGACTCGGTATCGAACGCCACAAGCCTGTATCATTCTTTGCTTTTTCAAACCCAAATTTGGTAATCAAAATGTAGTCTACAATAGAAGAATATTGTTGCTTTAGGTGATATCGAAATACTTCGTATTCTCTCTGATCGTTTTCAGATCGTGACAACTTGTCCAAATCTTGTTCGTCGTGAATGATTGCTTTCAATTCCTCCCATCGATAACGCTCCTTTCGATAGCCATACTTCAAGTTGGGCAGTGGAACGTGGGCGTCAGGAGAAGATATGACAACTCCTCCTTGGATATTATTGTTTTGACGATCAAGAACAACATTTCCATCATTCTTGCTGGTCATTTTTAAATGTCAAAAATAACTCTTATCTTTCTGTCAATACACTTGCACACAAGTATAATACAAGTTCTGATCGGACTTGGTTGCTTGTGCCAGCAATGCTGCATTGACGGTCGTCTGCGAATTGACAATCCACTCCAAAATCTTCCATCTAAAAAACGTAAAAAAAGTCTTTTCGAATATAAAATATACCATATATATAGTACCAGTACTCGTAGTCATTACAAATCTTGGATCTTTGGATATATTCAATATTTTAAAGTACCATTTTTACGATGAAAGGGATCCGGTGACTAATCTTCATCTTCAGTCTTTTCGAATAGTCATTACAAATCTTGGATCTTTGGATATTAAAGTACCAGTTTCACGCGTATTCTACGAATAAAAGATCAAATAATTTTCGAATCTCCAAACAGAAGCATCTCACAATTTCTTCGTTCTGATACTTTACAAGCCGCCAAGCAAGATTATGTTTTTCAACATCAAATTAGGTCTACTCGCCGCAGCTGTGGCAGCAGCTTCGGCGGATGATGGAAACCTTCGTAAACTCCACGACGTCCGCTCTCATGAAACTCACGACGTCCGCTCTCATGGAAAGAATGGTGTCAATCGAGTTGAGGTAAGCTTGCAAGTGAGTTATATGTTCTATGCATCCGTGTACAGATTACTTATTCATTCTTTTCTTTTTCAACTCGGCGGTCTACAGTCCAAGTCACGTAGTGGAGGAACCCAAACTCAGCCTTGTGTTTTGGTGGAAAGGGTACAAGAAACTGAAGAGGGGGCTGAGAAATCCTGGTACTGTTTGTTGAAAGGTGAAGATGCTCTTGAGGCCGGATTCTCTGTTGCCATCGAAGGAATCGGTTTCGTCAATGACGCCTACGATGGAAAACTATGCAGTGGTACTATCGAGATGCTTGCAACAAATGCAGTCATTAACAGCTCGGAGTTGACGTTGACCATCACTGCTGACAGCGAGATCACCTTCCCTCCGGTTCAGAATCGCCGGAAGCTCAAGTCTTCCACTGGTATCCAAAAGGCTCTTGTGGTTCGTGTTACAACGAGCGATGGCAAAGCGCCTGAACCTTCCGCGGCTCAAATGAGCGATAAGGTATTTGGAACCAGTGGAGACATTGTGAACGCAAAAAGTGTATTCGAAGGATGCTCCCATGGGAAGATGAAGGTTGTCCCTGCAACAGGCGATGGAGTTATCAATGGCGTAATCGAAATCACTTCAAGCGCTGTTTCGATCCCTAAAGGCGACCATGCGATCTACAATGATGTCCTCGAAAAGTTGGAAACTCATTTTTCAGTTACCGATCTTGCCTCCATTTTTGAATTTGTTTTGATTGGTATCCCAGACGGCACCATGAAGGGAGCATGGGCTTATGCTCAGACTCCTTACAGTATCTACGGTGACCCAAATATACTCTATCCTACCATGACGGTGGTAAGTTACTCGAGTGATAGATGCAGGACTACTCCAAGAAAGGCGAGTGATGGCTAACTTCGTTTCATCTCTATCCCATTAGCACGAAATGGGCCACAACTTGAATCTTCACCATGCAAATGAAGGAACATCTAAAGAGGGAGTCAATGGAGATCATCAAGGGATGATGGGCTATGTGATTGGTAAGAATTTGTTGGTCCATTTTTTATGTTCTTGGATTATTGCTAACCTTTTGCGAAGATCATGATGAGGGACTTGCAGCCAAACTTTGTTACAATCCAGCCAAAAATTATTATATCGGGTAAGTCGAGCAATTATGGAATCGATATCACACATTGAAAATTCCGGGCTAACCACTTTCGCTTTTTCATCACAGTTGGTACTCCGATAGATTACAAGACGTAAAGCCCCAAATTGCTGAATACTCAGGAAAGCTTATTGGCGTGGGCAATTGTAAGTTTAGTCGATTTTTCAAAGAAGATTTTATGTGCTTCTCAAACACTTCGCTCAACTTGCCTTTCCACATGATATTTGAAAGACGATAAAATTTCAGGTGATGACAAAATCGTGTTGAAGCTTGCCGGTCCGCCTGGTGACGAAGATTACTACATTGGGTACAATCATGCTTCTGGTTGGAACGAGGGGACTCATGAATCTATCAATGAAGTCACTGTCGTGAAACAGAAGCCTGGTTTTGAAATTTCGACCAAGGTTGCTTCGCTCAAGCAAGGTCAAGAATACAAGATCTCGAATTATTTGGATCTTGGTAAAGACGTGACTATCAAGGTGACCCAAGTGGATGCCAACACCGCAACTGGATTTGCCGCGGTGCAGATTTGTTTTGGGGCGTGTGGGTCAAGTCCAGCCACTCCTGCTCCCGTCTCAACTACTCCTGCTCCCGTCTCCCCTACTCCTGCTCCAGTCTCGCCATCTGGGGGATGTACGGATGACGCGAATTGGAAGGACACGGATGATTGGGGCTGCGCTGAATACAAAAGTAATGCGGTGTGTGATCCCTACGGAGACTGGGCTGTCGACGGCGTGAGCGCAAATAACGCTTGCTGCCATTGCAAAGGTTCAGGCCCGAGTTCTACTCCTGCTCCAGTCTCCACTACTCCTGCTCCAGTCTCGCCATCTGGGGGATGTACGGATGACGCGAATTGGAAGGACACGGATGATTGGGGCTGCGCTGAATACAAGAGTAATGAGATGTGTGATCCCAACGGAGACTGGGCTGTCAATGGTGTAAGCGCAGATAACGCTTGCTGCCATTGCAAGTAATGACTGCGATGACCCACCGCACGATGAGTTTGACGAATATATCATTTACTGGCAACCTGCATGGAAGCTGGAAGTAGAAGTCGTATGTAAAACCATGCTTATTTTGCTATGCTTTCTCTATAGTAGCATGTAGCAGAATTCAACTACTAATCCAATTTACATATGCAAAGCATCATCTTCCTCAACTAATTGCTCCTCTTGCAATGTCATCTTTTCACCGCTTCAATGCGATGACTTGTGAACGATAGTCCAAACGTCCTAGAGTAGTAACCTCTTGATCTCGATAATCTCGATAGATCGCCAATCCTTCTAATTCCGAGAACCAATCGCGGAACCGTGATGCAACTCGATTCGTCCCCACCCATTGTGATATATAGTGCTCATCGTGGGCATGTGATGCAACATGTATGTCAAATTGGTCTTTTGCACTATAGAATTCATACGGTATAGGTAATATCGGAGGTCCAGGAGGAGGATGGACCCATGGCAATCAAGGAGGCCTACAGTAGATCAAATTCAATCCATTCTTTTTCCATGGGGGTCCATTTGGACGGACAACTGACTCGGAAGAATAATGAAATTGAAAGTCCAAATTGATTGCGACCCATAATATAGGCGGGTTCTGTGTACTCATTCACTTCTTTGGAAAACATTGCTTTCTTTTGCACCTTCTATCGTAGTCGCGTACTCTGATAAAGTCTAGACGGGACCAGCGGAAGAGATATATCGCTGATGGAATAAGTGGGTGACGTTGATCATGTGGTGACAGTGTTGATGGCGAAAGGTGACGTCGTAAAGACTGAACTCAACAACGAATGTGAGACAACAAAGACTGTCATAAGCCATCTTATCCTTAAGGAAGCTATTCGACAGGTCGACAATCTCATGATGGTGGTGGATATGTAAGCTTGCTCATTGGGGGACTGCGACTCTCTTTTATATGTCGAACCATTCACATAGCCAGAGGCACGGATCGAACCAGTCGACACAGAAAAATGAAGGTACAATACGGTACCATGATACACCATACACCATACACCATACCATAGTGCCAGATAGTGCTGGTCTGCATGCATCTACCGGTATTTTTGAAACAGTATACCTCAGCAAGGTAAAGTACTGTAGCTATATTCGAGTTTGGAGTTTGGATTTTATGCTCAGCTCGGAACAGGATGCTGGTGCCGCTGAGGATCCGCCGTCATAAGCACCATCATTGTTGATTGAAGTTTGGTGAGAGGCGAAAAGACCACCAAAGCAAGGACCAAAGCACCCGACACATGTGTGACATGAAAGGAAAGGCAAAGCTCACGCGCTTTTTATTTGGTCAGGTGTCATAATTCATTCACCAGACACACAATAACTACCGTATAAAACAAAGCTGCTTCACAGGAAGAATAATCCCTCAATCGATCCATCCCGCAAAAAAGGATCCCATCAGACAGACGAGAGCTGCCATGAGCTCGAGGCCGGCGTCGAGATCAGGAAGCAACGCCTTTGAAAAAGAGAGACTTCCGCAGAATTGTCGTCGACTCGCATCATTTCCTCGCGCACAAACCCTGCCAAGAGCAAAGCCGCCAAGGAGACTTTGGAGGAATTGAATCGTCTACGATTTGACAGATTGGATCATTTATACGGTCGCGACAAGGAGATTGAAGCTCTTCGTCGCGCCTACGAGGGGCTGCAAAAGGGCAATTCTACTAAGAATGACAAGAATGCCAAACAGACACCAATGAACATGGTAACCGTTGCCGGACTCTCAGGGACAGGGAAATCGGCCATCGTCAAAGAGTTTCAACGGCAAACGCGGAAACGAGACAAATCAGCATTCTTTTGTTCAGGAAAATTCGATCAGAATCAAAGGTCGTTGCCCTACAATGCCTTTATTACGGCATTGACACAGTTGGTATCTGAATTCTCCATGCTGCCTCCGGCTGACAAGGAAGAACTACAACGTTCACTTAGGAAGAATTACCGTGTCTTGCTGGATCTGATACCAAATTTGGAGGACCTGTTTCCAGATAATATCACTGACGGTGGTGGCAAGGAGGAAGAATCCACAGTCGCTCCCGAACAGAAAAGCTACGACGTTGTACGATCTCAAGCTCGTTTCAAGTTTGCCTTGTCGAAATTCCTCGCCAGTGTGTGCCAACCTCAACACAAGGTGATTATATTTTTAGATGACCTTCAATGGATTGATCCAGCCTCACTTGATTTGCTAGAATTCATGTTACTGGAACCTGGATTGGAGGAATCTCTGTTGATCATTGGGAGTTACCGAGACAACGAAGTGGACGATCAACATTTACTGCTGCGACGTCTGGCAGTAGTCGAAATGTCAAGGGGTCGAACGATGCAGCGTCTCTGGATTGAAAACCTTTCTTTGCAAAATACGCACGACCTGATTACCGACCTGTTCAATGCCGACCCTTCCGAAACCAAAGAGCTTGCCGAAATTGCCCATTCCAAAGTGGAAGGCAATGCCTTTTTTCTAATTCAGTTCCTGATTGCCCTTCGAGACGAAGACCACATCTCGTACAATATTGGCACTACCAGTTGGTCCTGGAAGTTGGAGAAAATTCGAAAAAGTACAGTGGTTTCCAACAGTGTTCTCCTCGTGCTCATGAAAAAGATGAAAAAGCTAGACGAAAATGCTCGACGATTACTCACCATCATATCATTTCTAGGATCTTCCTTTCAAGAGACTGTGGTGGACATACTGGCTACCGAGCTTGCAGGCTCTAGCCTCTTGCCGGCTGTGGAGACTCTCGAAAACACCGCAGTCATATTGGGAGCCTTGGTCGACACCGGCTTTTTGGAAGTGGTAGTGACTCAAGACCGTGGTTCCAACCAGAACCAAAAAGTCTATTACTTTGCCCACGATCAGATCGAAATGGCCGCCATTTCTTTTCAAGACGAAAGTACATTGCCAGAGCTAAACCTAGAAATGGCACGGGTCCTGTATTCCAAGCGACACGATTTTGATTCTGAAGGAAAGCTGTTTGCCGTTGTGGACATGTACAACCAAGGTCGAGACCTGATCAAGTCTTCGAAGGAAGTTATGCTATTGGCCGAATTGAACTTTCAGGCTGGTAAACATGCATTGGAGTCGTCTGCATTTGCAGCATCCACAAAACTACCTTCGAGTTGCCATTGATTTGATACCGCCCACCGAACGATGGGAGAAGCATTACGACTTGTTTTTGGAGCTCCAGAATTCCTTGATCAAGGCTGAATACTCCAACGGCGAATGGAATCAACTGAACAAGGACATTAATATTATTATCAATGCCAAAGGCAAGTCGATACTAGACAAGATCACGGCGTACTCGTTGAAAATAACAGAGCTGGCTTCGCGACAAAATAAGCACGTGGAAGCCATCAGCTTGACTGTCAATGTATTGCGAGAGTTCGTCCGGGACTTGGAAAGTTGGCAATTGTGGGCGGCCTGGTCAAGACAAAGCAGCTTCTCAAAAAGATTCCCATGGACTCGATCCTTCAAAACGGAGAGATGGACGATGCACACAAACTTGTCGCATTGGATCTTTTGACTGCTGTGAACTCGTCCCTTTACGCTGTAAACCCCGATTTGATGGTATCTTCAGTACTGAAGATCATGCGATGGTCCCTCAAGTATGGTACCAGCGAGCATACATGCCGTTCTCTTGGTGTCTTTGCACTCGTCGATTTTGCGCTTGGAACTGTGAAAACTGCCCAAAAACCTTGCAAACTGGCGATTGAATTGGCCAAGAAGCAGAACCTGATGGAAACCCAACATGCTCCAATTTCTGCGGCATATGGATTCGTCCTGCCATGGATAGAACCAATGTCTGGGCGTGCCAAGGAGCTCTATCTGGGATACCAAATTGGCTGCGAAACAGGCGATCTAGAGTTCGGCATGATGAATATTGCCCTCTATGGTTTCTTCTGTTTTTCGATTGGAAAACCCTTGTCCAATCTCGAGGCTGACTTTGCGGACTACTCCAAGCAAATGCAAGACTGCAATATGGAACTGCAACGAAACTTCCTTTGCCTGACGTGGCAGATAGTATTGAATCTCTTGGGTCGCAGTGATGATTCAATCTCTATGGATGGCGAAGCAATGTCTGAAGACGCCATGCTCGCTACGGCGAAGGAAGCAAATAACCCACCACTGCGGGCTCAATTGTATTGTCACAAACTTCAACTTTGTGTCTACTTTGGCAATTTTGAATTAGGGGCGACCATGCTTTCTGAAACAGGAAAAATTGACTAGTCAATCCGGCTAATCCAATCATTTGGAGGACCGCCTTATTTGAAGGCATTGTAGCGTTTGAATTCTTGCGTCGTGGAATCAAGAAATACAAGTCGGTCGGAACGAAAGCTTTGAAGAACACAGAGAAGTTTGTCTCGAATGGAAACGTCAATTGTGTCCATATTCTTTACTTTTTGCAAGCTGAAAAAGAGGCCGCAGGTGGCAACACAGGTGAAGCTCGTGGATTGTAAAACAAGTCAATTTTTGCTGCTGCGAGATCGGGGTTCGTCAACGATCAGGCTTTGGCAAATGAACGATGTGCAGAAATGCTACTTCGGGAAAACGACGAATATTGGGCTAAACATTATTTTGAGCAAGCAAAGGAAGCCTACACTCAGATTGAAGTTTACGGCAAGATTGACCGCATGGTAGATTCGAATAAGCTGCTGCAACCAAGTATCAATCTAGACGGATTGAAATTACCACCTGAAGGACATCCAGAAATGGATGCGACGTTGGAAACCGAAACTATGACGTACATGGCAAAATAGAAGGATAGAACTGGAAAATTAGGTTGTATTCCTTTGTATTACTATGTTGGTTGTCCTTATTGCTTTGTGTCTTCTCCTTGTTATGAGGGTCAGAACTGGGCCCTTCTGCTAGTCCACAGAGTGTTCCAACGACAGAATGAAGTAGGCCTCAGAATAAAGGTCGTACGTATAAAAGCAACTTCATCGCCGCTACTCTCGGTTTCTTTCTATAGCATTGATCGAATAAGCTTTGGTGGATGGAACGCTCCAGCGGTCTGTTTGGTTCCATCACAAAAGGACACCAGCCATCTTATCAGCAGAACCCCCCTTTCCCTCGTAGCACCTCGTCTAGATTTACAGGTCTCGAATAGCCCGACACATGGCCACATCAATTCCTGATAGGCCATCAATATCTGCCCCTCGACTATACTGAAATCCCAAGGCCACAAAGGCACCAACTACTGCCAATGCGCTGGAATACTCAGCAATTTGTACTTGAATCAAAGTAAAGGATTCCAGTGGCCCAAAGACATCCTCCGCTGACTTTTCCAAATCCTTACCACCTGTCACAATCCGATTAAAGAGTGCTACTCCGGCCAAGACAATTACGCCCTGGTAGCATATTCTTTCAAGAGTATCCGAAAAATTGGTTGGTCCACAGCCTGTGAAAGCAATGAAGAACTCACTCCAAAGGACGCCAAGTGCAAACCCAATGCCGATTTCGGCAATACCCGAAACTAGATTATCTTGTGGTCGAGAATAGAGACAAGAAGATTTCCGCAAGGTGTCTTGACTGATGGACGGGCTGGTCGGTGGAACCTTCTTCCATAATGTCACATGTCGTTGGTTTGAAATCACCTCATTGCGTATCAGCGCTTTTTGTTGCATTCTTGAAAATCCATTCGCCAGAATCGGTGATGGAGATAGAAACGATCCTCTCACAGTAGTGACAAGAAGAAGAAAGAACAGTGTTACTGCCAAACAAGCTGACTGATGTCGTCCCACCATCATCAATATTATTGTTTGATGACCATACGGTAGCATTGGTGTTTTGAAGTTTCACATCCGTGTTTGAGATATTCGTGACTAAGATGAGAGTCATAGGTACGTGTACGTCATCGATGAGATCATTTTTTTCTGTCGTCGTTTTCGCTTCCTCCGAACAATCAAAGCAAGGTCGCTCACTGGTTCTATCTGTTGTGATTGCAACACCATGTCCCTATATACTTTAATCGGTGCACCACAATGTCACCAAGTGCTCCGTCAGTAAAAAGGGATCAAACGCACACACAGATCCCTCGTACTAGACAACCACTTCAGCACTTCATGAACCTCCTTCTAGTATGATTGACGAATCCTTCATAGACAACAACTTACTATTGGTGCCCAATCAATGAAGCCATGCGGAAAAAAATTAGAAGCGAAACCCATCTGACGACCAAGCATAATTCCGAATTCTGATAGATACAAGACCAGGAGCAACGATAGGATCACAGATACTCAATGATATCACGGATAAGAGAATGAATCAATCTTTCGTGAGATTCACCATCTTTCGGAGGGCAATGACTCATTTTTTAAATTTAAAAACACGGACAAGGAGATTCTGCTTGAAGATTGGCAACTTATCTTCAACTTGACCATAATAACTTTCAAAGTGTCGAACATTTTGAAGGATCTACACCACTCTTCTTTCCACTTTTCCAATTCGGAAATACCAGCTTGGTCTACTGTTGGGACACGCCCTATCATCACGACGATACGAAAGCACTTGTCGGCCTTTCTTTCACTCAAGCAATGTTTCTCCAAGAAGGAAGACAACAACTCAACAAGTGGAACCAACTTTTTCTGGAGCTAGCCTATCACCATGAAAATGAGGATACTAAGGCGATACAAGATCAAGGGCAGAAGCAAGTACTAATCACCACCTAGTCGACTGGATGGAGCTCTTCAACTGGCGGGTGGACAATGGAACTACACTTATTCTATACAGTGCAAGCAAAAGATGATCCACGAGGGCTGATTGATTGCGCAGTGCAACGAAAATGTGACTACCATACACCAACTCCTCGATGATGTCATTCGGAATGTCTCATTCTGATTAGGGTTGGGATGGTACGCACTTTTTGGATCCTGACGTTGATTTATTTAGTTTGATTGATGGTTGGGTTCGGAAAATGAGAAGCCCAAAAAGGAGCATTTGTTGAAATGACGTAGAAAAAGTACGTGAGTCTTCGTACAAATGACACATGTCAGTCAAGAACAGTTTTTTGATGTGGAGTTCGCGCTGATGTACGTTCTAGCTTTTGCAAGAATTTTGATCGAAAGGCAAGTAAGTTTGATGGGTGCAGATGCGAACACTACCTGCTTTCAACACATCAAGCATCCAATATTATTCAAGAACAAGATATCCTGGCACTGCACTAGATGTGGAAATCACTATCGCAACAGTAATCATTGACACTACCGCTTGATCGATTCGCAAACTAGCAATGCACAACATGGACCATCAAGTTGATGGAGGAATAGAAAAGAGTGGATTCGGAGGACTGCAGCAGCACACCGCTGGAAAGCCATCTCTCGAATGGGCTAAAGACTATGCAGACAACCGGCATGTGCTTCTTCGAGCTAGGAATGATCTCTCAACCTCTGTAGCTCAGACGGTGGCACGAACGAGCCATCAGAAGCCATCTCCTCCTCCTCCAACACCCACGATGACTGATGAACCAAAGGTTCCGGAAGAAACCAGAGTCCATGAATCGGTTTCTTCGACTGTGGCAGAATCACCTCAAATGCCGCCTGTTGAGTTACAGCCAATTGTGGCAATCATTGCCACGCCAACTATTGCTACCCCTGTACTTTCTTCCACCACACCACCACCAGCAAAGAACTCCCCTGGCAACAAGAACAATCGAAAACGAGGAATCCCGCATGTTTATCGAGACTTTTCCAGTGTACCTGATGCTGCTGGCTTTGTGCGAAAGAAGACGGGTGGAGTTACGCAACCGTTTCCAGAAAAGGTAAGCACCATTATGCATCTACTGTCCGTGGATCGAGTAGAGGGCCACACGAACTCACTCTTGTGCTCGTTTCCAAAAGCTTCACGAAATGTTGGAAATGGCAAACCAGCCCAATGTTGTGACATGGCTACCGCATGGAAGAGCTTTTCTAGTTAGGAAACCCAAAGAATTCACAGAACACATCATGCCAAGGCAAGTTTATCGATGTTTTTGGATTGTACTTTATTCGATGATCCAATCTAACCTGTTTGCTTCTCCGCACCGATACTGGTAGATACTTTCGGCAGACCAAGCTGACTTCCTTTCAGCGCCAGCTCAATTTATATGGATTCCGTCGCATCACACAGGGCCCTGATGCCGGAGCCTACTATCATGAACTCTTTCTCAGGGGAAGACCTCACCTCTGCATGCGCATGCAGAGGCAGAAGGTCAAGGGGACTGGGCACAAGCAACCAGCCGATGCGCAAACAGAACCCAATTTTTACACCATGGTACCTTCGCATCTTAAGCAACCGGCCGAGCAAAGTCCACCACCTCTCACCACCAGTGTTCCAGCTCCCAAAGCATATCGGGATCTGAGTCCTGGTTTGAGAGGTGTGCACGGGGCAGCTCAGCTTCTCAAGACGATCGCAGCTGGATTGCCTGGTTCGGCTTCCAATTCTCCATTCTCTCTAGGCCGGCAGGCTGTTGATATTCCAGCATCGTTAGATCCCCCATCGTCGTTGTATCAGTCCAAGCCGTTCCAAGAAGCTGTTTTGCTTTCGGCACAGCCATCTCTCTCCCTTTTGGGTCGTGTGACTCAAGCAGACAATCAAGGCGAAGCTACACCTGCCTTTGTCTGGCCACCAATGCACTCAGCGCAAACACTCGTAGTGACAACATCACCTGGACTTCCTTGTGGAACTGAGAAACAGCAAGATTGGTCCAGATTCAAGCCTTCAGGGCTAGCTACTTCCGAGGCTGCGACCGAAAACAAGGGCATGCTGCCTCCTAACGGGAAGAATCCAAAACTACAATCTTCTAATGCTATCCTCGCCTCTCAGCCTGGACAATCGGAAAAGGGCGAGTCCTCGGGAAGTCATGTACTACCGGCTGCGAGGACTTCCTCTCCCGAGGTCAATGAATTTTTGATCAAGCAGTCCACGGATTTAATCGAGAACAAAGTCATGCGGGGAATTGAAACTGAAGAGGCTTGATTCTTCTCTTGCTTTCTTTCTCTCCTACCTATCGGCTATATAATTACCTCTTTGCTATCTACATTTCCTCGACTAATTCTTAATTCCTTTGACCTTATTACGGTTCGACGGTAACTGGTTCGTCATTGGACAAACCGTCTGTCCCCCGCTCGCTCCGCAATTGAATCGATGGGGTCCACAAAGCCATCAACACACGCATCAACCATCGCATCAAACCTCGTATTATTCTCGACAATCGATGCAAGCACCACGAAAATGAATCCAAAGGCGCTTCTATCGTTTCTACTTGTTACTTATCCTTCCGTAATTATAGGATTAACCACAAACTTCAATTCGCGTTCAACAACGAGCTTATTTGCAAAAAAGCAACAGAATCGAAAATCCTCCTCCTCGAAGGCTCCAGCTTCCAAGAGTGTAGGAGGTTTTGGGAGTGCGCCAAAGCCAGCTTCTGATGGAAAGGTCCGAACCGTATCTGGTTTTGCAGGTAGTGGTACCAAGCCTCTTCGCGTTGCTGCAAACACGTTTGATAAGCTACGAAAGGACTATGGTAAAGAATACACGTCAGATGTCTACTGCAAGAGTCCACTGAATGATCCAGAACTGCTTTGGTTTGTTGGGAAGGTCAACATTCGTCCGAATACAGCAGCAACACCAGATCAAGCTGTTATTGCTCAGAAAAGACTAATTCTTGAGTACGCAAAACGCGAGCTACGACCCCAGAATCTTGGAGGCAAATATGCTTCATCTTTGGAACTATGGTTGGCACCTGGTGATTCCGAAATGGATGCAGTGCAAAACAAGGTGTCAATCACGAAGGTTGATGGATCAGTTGCAGATCTTAGTGAAGATTTCTCTGTGAACGATGTTGGGTACAACCCCGAAATCTATGTTGGGGATGAAGTGGAAAAGGGTGGTTTGAGAATCAAACGAGATGATGATGGAAACCCAATCAAGCCGGTGTTTGAAGTCAACCAATAGTCTACAGTACAATACTGGTACCGATGTAGTAGCGAATGCGCACTTTTTACATGAGGACTGACAAAAGATACCAAACAGGATCTTTGCCACCCAACGACTGACTGACTTGAGTCATTTTGTGTGTGTTAGTGGCGTCCGGACGCCACTTTGTGTGTGTGTGTGTGTGTGTGTGCAACCACCTGTTTAGCCCGCTTGATAGGGAACAGCTGTGTGCAACCATTTTACCCTAACAAAACCGCTCTCTGTGGTATCTAAATGGAGCATTGACCACGAATAATTGTTTATAATAATGTACGGTAACTGTTTATGAATGAGGTTTGGGAAGAGCCAAAATTGATCATGTCCATTGAATATGGTAGCGCTCCATGTGTGACTTGTTGCGTGACTCATAAGTAAGCATTGTGTTTTTTGTTTCAATCCCGAATTTAATGAAAAGATTCGAACGTACCGGAACGTACGGAATATCTCACTTGTATGTGGCCAGAAAGTTCCCCAAAGCAATCCGCCAAGGCTCCCGCTCGCCCTCTTACACCGCTTCTGATAAAAAGTCACAAAGGAAGCCTTGATTTCGAAAAGGGTCTTGTTTTGCAATTAGAGAATTCACCTGGTAACAATGCAGCGATAAGTAAGAGCCTTCCAATTTAAAGAACGTCGAGTTCATTTTTAACACGCGAACGAATTTCCCGAAATGACTCGGCATTCGCTTTGAATCCCCTAGGCCACTTCTTCGCATTTGGTAAACGGTGGTCACGGCCCTCCGTACATTAAAAGTACTTGGACCATCATGCTCCAGCTCAGAACCAAACGCCCTCCTGCTGATATTAATCGATCTGATGCAGTGTTTGTTCCTAGAACAACAAAAAATCACGATATGCGCGACCGCGAATCGTACAATGCGCAACCATTTCAATATTATCATATGACCTGAATATTGCTCGGTCAGAACAATTCTTTCATCTGACTTGACTCATAAAAAAGTCAAATGCTTCTTGCTATGAATAGAAACGATACCATTGATTTTCGCAATCAACACAAATTGTTGTCAATGGAGGAAACGAAGGCTGTAAAGGCCGATCCAGCTGAGATTGGTGCTGACGAGATCCAGCCAACTGAGTATGATGTTTTGTTTGGTCGAGGAAAGGTACGATCCATCCAGAGCACCGAGTGCAAACCACTGCAAACCGAACGCTGTGCTAACATTCTCTACCAGCCCTTCCAAGATCATCCAGGAAACTTGCGTCTGCACAGTATTGTGAACGTATACAAGCCAAACTACACTCAAGCTCGGAGACACGAAAAGACAGCTATTGCTGAAGATGTTGTCAAGATAATAAAGAACGATGGGAAACACGTTGGACGATTCCTCAAGCAAGTCGATGGCAAATGGGAAGGCGTCAGTGACATTGAAGCAAGAGCTAAAGTGAGCCATGCTCTGAGAGGAAAGTCCAGAGTTGAGCCTAAGTCGAAGAGTGCCATCAGCAAGTCTCAGATGCAACCAAACCTCGGTTTGAATCAAGTTGGAGGTCTTGACTCCATGAGGCAGCCCAATCCTTTGCATTCTTTGGTTTCTCAACAACCCAATATGATGGTTGCTCCGTTCGCTTCTGTTCTCTCGCAATCATCAGGCTTCATGCCTTCTGGTATGCCATCTATGTACCAGTCGATGCTTCTCAACAACATTCGTGAAGAGAGAGACCGCCTCATTCTTCAACAGCTTGCAGCTGGAGCTATGAATCCCTTGCAAATGCGACAACCACAAGGCAATCCCGGATTCCCGAATGCAAGCAGGCTATTAGAGAGTCTTCGAGCTAACCCTTCCGAGCAAAATCGAGCACCTGGTGGGACACGCGCTGGTCAAGGGCCAGCTTTCAACGTAGGACCTGGTGGGACACACGCTGGTCAAGGGCCAGCATCCAACCAGGGTTAAGGCCTTTGCAGGGCATGAACCGGAGAGTGCTAAAAATGACGCATTCTAAACTTAGGGGTATGTACAACTATTACTGTTAGAAATTTTCAATTCAATTTTGCCAAGAAAGCAAGCGTTTTTCGTTTCTGAATAATTAATCACTATAGGTAACTGCTGAGACAAACGTTGTCCTGGAAACGCAACCATGTAAACCGACCCCACCACGCAACCATGTAAACCGACCCCACCACCTGATCATCGACATACTGTAGGTACTCTTCTTCCCTTTGAATCCAACACGCGCCCAGTCCTGCTGCAATCACCTGTATCCTTTTCCGTCACATCCAAGACTACAGTAGGTAGTCCAGTTTCCAAGTTAGATTTTTGAATACCACTCAAGACTCAAGACACTCTCTTGGTCTTCACAAGGGGTCCCGAGCCACACAGAAACAACATGAAGACTCTTGCTGACTTTTGACACGACTGAAGTGACCGCGGATCGAATATTACCTACGAAAATATCCGCGAGCAGAGAAAAAAATGTTTTTAAAGCAGCACGAGAAGAGCGTGAAGCGGGTCCAGAAAGAATAAGGGTCTCACGGATGCATCTACACACGTGCGTGTGCACAATAATGTTCGTGCTCCAACGCTCGCGTGAGGGGCTCAAAACAACAGACAGAATGCACAATGTACTAGAGTGCTCGCGGGCTGTCCGTACCTATGAAAACAGACAGGTCCCGGAGCGGACCAGAGAAAAATGTGACCGCCTTGCGACATACCTTATATTTAGTTTTGGTCGCAATATCATCTTTTATTACTGTGGTCTGTCTGGAAGTCGTGCTCGATACAACGTCTGGCCTTCGTGCCAACATCGACATCGTCTGGCATTCGTGCCTTTCTTACTTTGGGCACGTGCGTCTACAATATCTACAGATATCCGCGATCTTTTCGAACCACTCCGAAATCATCCCGTGTTTCACATTTTTCATATCCAAATCTCAAATTTCATCATGCCATCAATGCAATCAAAGCCACAGTCCAAGTTCAGTGAAATGACCGTGGACGGTGCTCTATCGCACAGATCTGAATCAGAATTTAAAAGAATAATCACTCGCGTCCAAAAACCTGACCTTGAATTGTTGAATCATCCTCATCGACCACGGGCTGTATCAGTCGCGTCCTCGGATGGAGAATCTGAAGCTGATTCCGAAGAGAATCCTTCCTCATTCTCTGGCTTCAAGTCGGTGCATAGAGTTTCACTACACTATGGTGATCTCAGTAATGAGCCTACCCGACAGGGTCCCACAATGGAAGCTCGCATACTGAAAACTGGTGCAAACCCACGCAAATTGACACTACAACCAAACTCTCTCAAACCAACTCCGACGACGACCACCAAGAACTACAAGCACAAGAAGCATGTGCTTCAGATAGCAGATCCAGAGTCTATAGCTACACGTTCGATAACGCGAGTGCTCTCTTGCAACAAGAAAGGAAGGAAATCCATCAGACGCGTATCATTGTGGGTTGGTGAGCCAGTCCTATGATGAAATAGCGCTTATGTGCCCTGGGGAAAATATTTCCGATTCATGCAAATGTTTCTCATGCCACACGCATTCAACAGCTTACGTTTGAATCCATAGACCATTACAATGTCATACCTTAAACTACAATTATACCATCCATCACCTGAAACATATGTTCTGAGAAGGGCCTGATTCGCTCTTTCATACAAATAGCTATTATATCAGGCAGGTTTTTTAAAATCTGCAGACGTGCCACGCGAAACAGTTCTTCAATGCAGGCCTCTTCATTACACATAATATGAAATCCGATGTTCAAAAGTTAGCAGTCACTGTCGGTGGCTTGGTGCCGCTCTGAATCGCAACAATGGAATAGAATTGAATCAAATATAGTTTTACAATTAACATGCTTAACCCGATTGTATCCTCTAGTGTTGCTCCGTTTTCTATAGATAGTCTTGTATACATCATCCCTTTGGTTCCTGCTTTTAGATATACACACATACCGTAGATGAGTTACGATGTGCTCTTTGTCATTCGATACTGCAGAGCATTGGCGTCACGGAACCATGTGACAAAGTCAGCAATGCCCTTTTCAATGGGTGTATTGGGATTGTATCCCAACATTCGTCTGGCCTTGGTAATATCAGCATAGGTTACAGGAACATCTCCCTTTTGCATTCCAATATGATTCTTCTTGGCCTCCCATCCAACTTCCTTTTCGACCAGTCGGACAAAATCTGCTAGAACGACAGGTCGTCCATTTCCAAGGTTGATAAGTTCAGGTTGTCCAGGAACGACAAAGAGAGAGTTCACAACACCTTGGACAATATCTTCGACATAAGTAAAGTCTCTCCTTGATTTTCCATGGTTGAAGACTTGAATGGTCTCATTGCTCATAATCTTTTCAGAAAAGATCCAAGGTGCCATATCAGGTCGACCATAGGCCCCATACACAGTAAAGAATCGAAGGCCGATGCTGGAAACATTGTGCAGGTTGTAGTACGTTTGTCCAATCAGCTCATCGGTTCGCTTGGTAGAAGCGTACAGCGATGCAGGATCTTCCAGTCGATCCGACTCTTGAAAGGGAACCTTCTTGTTGTTTCCATAGACAGACGAAGATGAGGCATATACAAATCGACCATTCTTGTGCAATCCCAATTCGACGATTGTCTCCAATAGATAAACAAAGCAGTCAATATTGTTTCGTGTGTATTCCATAGGATGATCCAAACTGTATCGAACACCAGCTTGAGCCGCAAGGTGAATGATTCGTGTAATCTGATGATTGGAAATGGTTTCCTTAAGTTTTCCAACATCACAGACATCACCTTTAACAAATTCAATACCATTCTCTTTCAATTTCGCAATTCTGGATTGTTTTAAGTCTGTGCTGTAATAATTGTTGACGACATCATAACCAATGGGCGTCATGCCGATTTTTTTGAGTGCGAGACAGGTCCACATGCCAACGAATCCAGCGGCACCCGTCACCATGACAGTTGGCTTGGGTCCATTAGGTCCCTTGAAATCCGCCAGCATTTTTTGTGTCATTTCTGGCAGACGGTAATAGTATTGATCTTGAGGATGGACGGAATTGGGGACACCTGTACCCTTTCTTGGATTGTTGTCTCCCATTTCATCGGAAAAGGTGTGTCCTATTGATAGGCTAACAGCCGCGCAAATGCCGCACAATAGAAAAGAAACTCTTCGAATCCACATGGTAGAGGTCACACCATTGGTTTCATAACGATGAGAGTTGAGTCTGGGAAGCATCATAGAAAGTTCAATGTTGTTGTTGTTGCAGATGGGAATTTCCTGAGAAGGTATTTTCTCTGACGGTTCTCGTTTGTCAGAAAGTTAAAGGCAGGGCCACTTTGTGAATGAGATGTCTGATGCAGCCAATCAATGCGGGTCAATTCCAATGCAAAGAAGTTGGAATGGAAGCTGCAGTGAAGAGAGTGTGTTGCTGCCGTTAATAGAACATGCACAAATTATGCAACCTCCTATCTACAGAACGCATGTTTGTTACAAATGAAATGCGAGCGAGCCAAAGGAAGAAGACGTTGTTGTACATACGTAGCAGTACATTGGAGAAGCCAGCAACGGTCGTCATCGGAGGTATTGTTTGGCGATTTGGGGTATTTTAAGGAATTTGGAGCCTTTTGCCCCGAAATGTTACCCCGCATCCTGTTTCAAGTTTGGGCCTTTTGCCGGAGCGAATGAATGAATTGAGAATGCTGGAACGAGAGGACAGACGAGTAAGTCGTAAATTTGAAAATCCCGGCCAGCGCGAAGTGCGCGTGCACCTCCATCCAGCGTTTGGGTCTACTTGAAATTCTTTTCCTTGTTTGATAGAATGACAGGTGAAGTCTTGGTGACCATTCCGATCAAACCCACTTCAAGCTTGTCGTTGGAGTGTTGAATAACTGAATTAAATTGAATCAGCAATCACTCGAACTGGGCAGGCAGAACACACCATACTTTCCTAAAAAGCTGCTCTGAGAAGATTCCTAAAATTCAGATTATTTGCCGTAAAATTCAAAATCATGATGGCGGAAGGAGGAAGTTTGCACTGCAACCTTGCCTTTGTATTTCAGTTCTTTGAATCCCTACTGGTAGCGATGAGAATAATAAAGGATCCCAATTCACTCTTGACCGAAGCCGAAGATCCCAATTGGCATTTGGCCAAACAACGAAGAATTCAATTCTGTCTGGAACACAATCCAGTCCACCTTTGGGAATTGCGAGAATTGGCTCTAAGTAAGGGTGGACTATTGACGCCGGAAGCTAGGAAACGAGCATGGCCACTATTGGTGGGATTTGATGTGGAAGACAAGACAGAACGATTTGGTGATGATGATGACATTGAAAGCGAGAACCCAATACCGGATTTGCAACATGAATCATCATCCGGACAAGCGGATGGGGCTGCGTCGCCAACATCGGTCGTCGATTCGTCGGATACCATATTTACGTCGTCATCCGTATCTTCACACCCATCCCAGCATCATTCTGTTCAAACGGAACGGAATCCTGAACACGAGTTGATTCGAAGGGAGTCCAACCGATCTGTCATCTTTCAATACAACAAACACTACGAAAGGAATACCACGCCAGAATATGCTGGTGAACGATTGACAACAGTTTTGGAAAATGTTGTCACTGATCAAAAACACCACTACTATCAAGGATTGCACGATGTCGTTGGTGTACTGCTACACAGTCTTCAGTATGATACAGAACTTACGGCCGAACTAGTACAACATGCCGTCGGACAATCGCATTTTCGAGATGCCATGCGTGAAAACTTTAGCAATGTTACTTGGTTGCTCAATTTGCTGGTCTTGCCACTGGTGGAACAAATTGATAGACATGTCCATTACGCTTTGCAGGAAGTGGATTTGGCAAGTCTGTGCTTGCCATGGGTCATTACTTGGTTCACTCATGATGTCTATCATCCAGACACTGCTGCAAGATTGGCGGATGCCTTCATGGCAGGCCATCCACTTTTGCCGCTGTATTTCGCAGTGTCGTTGTTGACGCACCCAGTCTTGAAGCAAGAGCTCTTGCAACACGAAGATTATGATCCCGCAAGTTTGTTTGTCCTATTGAAGAAGCTACCCCGATCCATTGGTTCCGACATGGCGAGTAGACATGATAATACAGTCCATTGTCGTGTACCAGTGCAAGAGATTTTGGAAGATGCTCTCGGTATACTGTAAGTTTTGGAATTGTGGTGGAATTGGATTCGATTCGATTCGATCCACTTTGGACTGACAACATTATTTCTTGATCCATTTGCATTGGACTTTTTGTCCAACATTACAGAAAACGCTTTCCTCCACGCAAATTACTAGACCTTGTCGATGCGGATTTTGAAGAGCTCTTGCTTCGAGTGTCATCGATATCAGCCTTTCGCACGCCCAGTGCTTGGAGAATTACTTCTGGCAAAAAGTGGACTTTGCACCGTAGCCTCAGCAATGATAGTTTGGATTCACTAACGAGTGCCCCACTATCCTCTTCCACCCGAAGGGAAATGAAAATATCCAACCAATTCATCCGAGCCAAATTGGCGAGCGGAGTCCCAATTGTACAAAAGGAAATCCCGGATAGTCACCAACTCTTTCGAAGTGTCTTCTGGGGAACCTATCGCTACGAAATCCTCAGGCGAAAGCGACGAAGAGGCAAGCTGCGAAAGTTTGCCAGACGGATGATACGCCGATTGACGAATTCCAAAGTGAAATCGTCCTAAAATAAATTTGGTTGTGAGGAAAATTACTAGTGTTGCACATGCTACAAAGTGGTAGAACATGAAGTAAAGAGAGAAATTTAAGGATCCATCTGGAAAAGATTGATTGGATGCTATGATAGAAACAGCTAATAACAGGTGTACCGGTTAAATGCATCTTTCTAGGTGAAAAACACTACTTCGGGTTCCCTTTTTCTTGAATGACCAAGCGAGAGGAGATCGAGACTATTCAAAGAAGTTATATAAACAATGGATACTATAGTAACAGTTCATATATAGCCGCAGCATTGCAACAAAAAGCGCAAGTGTCTTGTCTGCTTCTGGTCATTGGTTCTGGTGCTTGTGCCGGGGTATTGTGTATTCAAAAATGGTCCATGTGACGTCGTGGTGTAGAGAAAGAACAAATAGTTTGAGGTTTTCGTACTCATGCCAATCGAAATGGCAAGTACTCGGGTTGCTCATTGTCCAATTGAATACGGTTAGCTTGACTATCCACAGTTTCGATCAAGATTTGGTGGTCATTGCTGTTGGGAACCTGCAAGATTCCTTGAGCGGCATAGGCAAGGGCACAACCGATTGAGAAGAGGAATAGCATTTTGGTTCTGATGAGTGATAATGGAGAAACAGTATGTTCTGGCGTCGTCGGCTCCTCAAATGCTTTGGTCTGCTTTGAATTGAGATTTTTGTGTATGGGAAGAAGTAAAATAGTGCTATGGTGGTTGAATGAATCTATTTACCAAAATGTGGTGATGATTTGTGAAGAAAAAGGTTCCAGTTTCAAAAATGACCGCGGGGAGATTGATTCATTCATTCAAATCCCAAGAATCTTATTTTTCTGCTGCGCAGAGAATACCTGCTGACGTCACATGTGACAAATGACCGGAGATTCGAAAAAGGAATCTCTGCATATATTTTGAATGAAAATTTCTGGCTGACGTCACAAAAAAAGAACAAAGGTGTGTGTTACTGCACCGGTAGGTGCTTGACAACCCTACAAATTGTCAACAATGAACAAGCTTTTCTCCCTCTTGGTTGCACTCTTGCCAATTCTAACTTATTCCTTGTCATCTCCTGCCATGTTCAATAGAATCGCCCGTTCATCATTCCAACAAGTAAACCGTCGATCGACAGCTTTGTTCATGTCATCTGATCGCAAACCTGGAGTCGCCTCCCCTGAGGAGTTGCGTGATTTCGTCAAGGCCGCTGGAGACAAGTTGTTGGTCGTCGATGCTCGTAATGCTGATGCTTCTGCCGAACCAGGTGACCAAAAGTCCCTAGCTGTCGCTCCTTTGCCTGGAGATGGTGTTAGACCCAAGGCCGTCAACTTGATTTGGGATCGCGAAACCAATTCCATGCCCATGCCAGATGTTGATAAGGACACTTATGTTATCACTCACTGCGGTGGAGGTGGCCGTGGACAAAAGGCCAAGGACTTTTTAATTGAGAAGGGATTCACCAATGTCCTCAATGGTGCTGGACCAAAGGTAAGAGTTCCAAACGAATATTCATTTTTAATTGTTCAATACGACGGTTCTGAAGTTGATTGCTTTGTCGTAGGAAACTGATTGCTGGGCTGAATTCGGAGAACTGTAGACAAATATTGACAGACTAGATATATCCTTGCTGTTATTCATCTGAACTGCCTGTATAAAGAACTGTGTAGTGTTTCATTGGAGAACTTTATTATTTCAAAAGTATGTATTGTCGGTCTTAATTTTTCGAGGGGTATCTAATTTCATATTTTAAGGCATTTCGAAAGCCTTGGACATCTTCTTCTTTGACTTGGTCTGGTAGTATCCGTTAGAGCTGGACTTGGACGAACAAGCTCTTTGCTTCTTGAGAGTTTGTGCGATATTCTTAGAACGATGCCCTTTGTAGCTTGAAGCTTCGTAGTCTACCATAGACTCGTCGACATTCTGTTGAAGTGAGCAATAAAAGCTGTCTTCGAGATTGTACGCCGGAGAAGCTTGGATCGTAGCTGCCACTCGTCGCATACGGGCTTGAGCTTGTTCTCTGTTGTTGCTTCGTGCTTCTTTGTCAGCTTCTTCCATTTCTCGTACGACACACACTCTAAGCCATTGCGCCTCAACGTCTTGGTTCACGGCAGAAAGATCAGCGCTGTCAGGTCTGGAAATAGAGCAATCGCGTGGTCCTCCTTGTGTGTTCTTCTTGGTTAGAACATTCATATAGGACACAGTGGCAACCAGATGAAGAACTGGCTCGTTGCTAGTGACGTTGGCAAGATCAAAATCCACAATGACATCCCGGCGTTCCTCAGCATAGAAGTCACCCATATTAACAGTAAAGGAACCATCTCCTCGATCGACCTTCTTGTCGTGGTGCACCTCACGAATCTTGACGCCACATTCGGAAGCAGCCGATGGAACAGAAATCTTGAGCACGGCACTTTGTGCCATGACAGACATGATACCTCCCATGGCATCTCCAAAGGCAGTGAAAACATCGGAATCGTTTTCGACAAAGTAGTAGCCACCACCGGGTGTGGCTTCCGAGAGTGCTTCGAGCATCTCCGAGTTGTGATCGGATCCATATCCAAAACAGAAGAGGGAAACGGGTGCTCCCTTGCTGGTGAGATTTATTGTTCGTGGCACATTCGAGGGACTGCTGGAACCCGAAGACCTCTTCACCCTCTTCATACTTCCCTTGGAAGATTGCTTGCTGAAAATTCTCATGATTCCCTTCTTCTGGGGTGGTGTGAATGTTGGTGCAATGTTCATGGTTTGTGCAACATTCGTGTTCATCTGTGGTGTGACAGAGTACAAAAGACTAGAAGACGGATTGCTTCGTCCTGCAGCTTGGCTTTCGTTCAAAGCAGCGGAGATATCTGATGCTGAATCGGCGTTGAAACTCTTGACCATCTCCACTAGTTCTGGAGTGGTAGTGATTCCTTCATTCGCATGCCCATCAGTTAGCAAGAAGAGCGATCGGACAGCGTTTGGATTATCAACGAGCAAGAGCTCCTGCCAAGCAAGCGATAATCCACCAGACAGATTGGTGCATCCGTTTGTTGAAAGCGCCTTGATCTTCTTTAAAGCTGCTGCCTTGTTTTCCTTCGTCATTAACAAGGCTGGAAAGACGACATCGCATCGACTTCCAAACGTGATCAAGCCAAAGCGATCCTTGGTGCTGAGTGGACGTAGCATGGCTTCCAAGGTACTCTTACAATCCTTGAGCTTGGATCCTGACATGGATCCGCTGACATCCAGAGCAACGCAAATGTCAACAGAACAGGTTCTTTCCGCCTCGTCTTCAGGCATGTCGCAAGCTTCAATGGAAACACATGCGGAGGTATATGTGGTACTGGACTTGACCCCAATGGATTCATGCTTGGGCGCGAAGGATAGCTTCAAAACGTCCACAGGTGATGCTGGAATATTCGCAAAGGATTCCGTGTCTTCTGCAATAGTAGAAGGTTCTGCAGTCGATGGAACAGTCCAGTCGTCAGTGCTTTCTTGAGTTCTCATGATGTCGTTGTTTGAGTAAGATAGATGTAGTTTGAATGATTTTATGAGAATTACATGATCGACAAGGATATCAAACATGCATCATGGAAATAAGTCACGTCTGGAGGATTAAAATTCAGGCGTGCCACAAACAGGTGGTAACCCGGATCTGGTGGAGTCGTGATGTAGACAGTGGGTACGTCTGCCCATTTTCTGATGCTAGAAAAGAACAATGGACCCAATCTCAAATGGCAATTCCAGACGAGGCTAGTGGCCTTGATTCCTCGGTGAGGGTAACAGACAAAAAAGTAGAAGTCTACATGATTAATTCGTCCAATCTTTATATTTCATGATGCTTTCGTCCATATCAAGCTGCGGATTATACATACCGCAGCATTGAACACTAATATTGTACTCATCAAAACAGCTTGGATTCAGGCTTACTTTCTATATATTATATAGACCTGGATAGTCACGTGCGGTATTTGATAAAGTTCAATTTAAAATTGTTCTCGTCATTTGGTCATTTGTTGTGATCCCTCATTGTTTTTCCGATCTGCCAATGAGCGTCATTATGGCATGATGCACACTATGAGAATGAATAGATGATGCGTTATTCTAATCCGATGGATGTAGTGGTGGTGATGATCTAGGAGTCTCCGGAGACTGCACTTTGCAAGACCACGGGAAATACCATGGATGGTGTCCCTTCCGATGAGATCCAATCATCCAGCCCACCGAAACGATGGATCGGGTCGCCCTCTGCGAACACTTCTCGAAACAGAACCTTTGGATTCAACAAGGATAGCAGAGAACTCTCTTCCGCTTCATCCGTGTTATTGGGTTACGACGGTGACATCAAGACATTTAGTTACGACTGTGAATTCAAAACACAAATTTATCAAGTCAAATTTACTTGACGAATAGATGAAGGAAACTGAATAAGCTCTAGTCTAGACCATTGATTATTATTATCTTTCCCCTCTCCTTTTTCTTACTGCTATCATTGAATTAGCGACTGCGAATATCCTCATGCATGTTTTTCATATACAGGGTAACTGCAGCACGTTTCCCTCTAAAAATCGCTGGACTTGTGTTTTCACGATGTTTGACTTGTCACAAGCTGGAGAAGCATTTTCTGATTGGCAGGCTTTCCGATCTTGTTTGAAATAGGCAAGGCTGGCTCCATATTTGGTGAGATTTGGTGGGAACTTTATTAGTGTTCAATGCTGCGGTATGTATTATCCGGAGGATTCGGACCGAGGGAAATTACTTCGTTGATCGGTGATTGCCGAGAAGAAATCAAAGAGCGTGGCAAGCCGTTGGCAGAGCTGAGCCACAAGGACTATACAGTAACTACTTGAAACTTGGAAGTCTAAAAGGAACTGTCTAGTGTTTCATTGGAGAATTATATTCTGTATCTTCGGTTTTCAATTTTTCCAGCGGTATCTTTTTCATATTACCTGCACAAAACCAAGACACGTTGATACGGTACAAAATCTACATAAAATCGACTCCACCGACCACAATTGAATTATATTCTGTATCATCGGTTTTCAATTTTTCCAGCGGTATCTTTTCATATTTTAAGGCATTTCGAAAGCCTTGGACATCTTCTTCTTTGACTTGGTCTGGTAGTATCCGTTAGAGCTGGACTTGGACGAACAAGCTCTTTGCTTCTTGAGAGTTTGTGCGATATTCTTAGAACGATGCCCTTTGTAGCTTGAAGCTTCGTAGTCTACCATAGACTCGTCGACATTCTGTTGAAGTGAGCAATAAAAGCTGTCTTCGAGATTGTACGCCGGAGAAGCTTGGATCGTAGCTGCCACTCGTCGCATACGGGCTTGAGCTTGTTCTCTGTTGTTGCTTCGTGCTTCTTTGTCAGCTTCTTCCATTTCTCGTACGACACACACTCTAAGCCATTGCGCCTCAACGTCTTGGTTCACGGCAGAAAGATCAGCGCTGTCAGGTCTGGAAATAGAGCAATCGCGTGGTCCTCCTTGTGTGTTCTTCTTGGTTAGAACATTCATATAGGACACAGTGGCAACCAGATGAAGAACTGGCTCGTTGCTAGTGACGTTGGCAAGATCAAAATCCACAATGACATCCCGGCGTTCCTCAGCATAGAAGTCACCCATATTAACAGTAAAGGAACCATCTCCTCGATCGACCTTCTTGTCGTGGTGCACCTCACGAATCTTGACGCCACATTCGGAAGCAGCCGATGGAACAGAAATCTTGAGCACGGCACTTTGTGCCATGACAGACATGATACCTCCCATGGCATCTCCAAAGGCAGTGAAAACATCGGAATCGTTTTCGACAAAGTAGTAGCCACCACCGGGTGTGGCTTCCGAGAGTGCTTCGAGCATCTCCGAGTTGTGATCGGATCCATATCCAAAACAGAAGAGGGAAACGGGTGCTCCCTTGCTAGTGAGATTAATGGTCTGTGGTACAGTAGAGGCGCTGCTAGAACTCGGAGGCTTCTTCACCTTCTGCATTTGCCTACGTCGCCTTGTAGATGGCTTGTTGGGTCTTAAGCTTGCAACTCGTCTAGCGGCTTGGCTTTCGTTCAAAGCAGCGGAGATATCTGATGCTGAATCGGCGTTGAAACTCTTGACCATCTCCACTAGTTCTGGAGTGGTAGTGATTCCTTCATTCGCATGCCCATCAGTTAGCAAGAAGAGCGATCGGACAGCGTTTGGATTATCAACGAGCAAGAGCTCCTGCCAAGCAAGCGATAATCCACCAGACAGATTGGTGCATCCGTTTGTTGAAAGCGCCTTGATCTTCTTTAAAGCTGCTGCCTTGTTTTCCTTCGTCATTAACAAGGCTGGAAAGACGACATCGCATCGACTTCCAAACGTGATCAAGCCAAAGCGATCCTTGGTGCTGAGTGGACGTAGCATGGCTTCCAAGGTACTCTTACAATCCTTGAGCTTGGATCCTGACATGGATCCGCTGACATCCAGAGCAACGCAAATGTCAACAGAACAGGTTCTTTCCGCCTCGTCTTCAGGCATGTCGCAAGCTTCAATGGAAACACATGCGGAGGTATATGTGGTACTGGACTTGACCCCAATGGATTCATGTTTGGGTGCGAAGGATAGCTTCAAAACGTCCACAGGTGATGCTGGAATATTCGCAAAGGATTCTTTGTCATCATTGACAGTCCAGTCCTCAGTGTTTTCTTGGGATCTCATGATGATGAGCGTGTGCGTGTAGAAGGATTTTATGAGAGGAATCTCATGATACCGGTAGACAAGACATCATATGCTTTGGATGACAGAGCATCTGCACACGTCTGGAGGTAAGGGGTACGATGATGTTGATGATACTGTACTGAAACCGTTCCATGTAACCCGGAGTTGTTGGAGTCTTGCGTTAACTGATCACTTGCGAGCGAAGTACAGACTAAGTAGTCGTACGTGTACGTCCTTCGCACCTCCACAGAAAAAGAGTTCCACCCATTTTTTTTTCCGATCCAGAAAAGAAGAAAAGACAAGAACAATGGACCCAATCGTAATTCCAGACGAGCCTCGTGGCCTTGACTCCTCGGTAAGAAAAATTATTAGAAAGCAGAAGTTTACATTATTCATTCGTTATTTGTGTCTCATGATTCATTCTTTCCAATATCAATACAATGTTCAGGATCGAAAGTTCCCTCCAGAATACGACGGTCACTTTGACCGATTGCTGATTACCCGAGAAGAAATCAAAGACCGTGCCAACGCGTTGGCAGATCTGATCCATAAGGATTACAAAGGAAAGCGACCAGTACTTTTGTGCGTATTGAAGGGTGCCAATAACGTAAGTTGATGCATTACCATATCTGGCTGCTGGTTTTGCTTCCCTACAAAGATACACCATTGTGTTCAAATCACTAACTTGGTTTGGATCGTCCAACACATCATTCATATATATATATATATACGTGCATATGTATATTCCAGTTTTACATGCACCTATCGGAAGCGCTGCAAGATTTGTGTCAGGGATTCTATACAGAATTTCTTCGAGTTAGCTCCTATGATGGATTGAATTCGACTGGAATGCTGGAAATTGGCGGCGGTCTCAAATACAAAGATATCGAGGGGAAGGATGTCATTTTGGTGGAGGATATTGTCGATACAGGCCATACTCTCTTCAATCTATTACCAGTGTTAAAATCAGAAGCCAAGCCCTTGTCAGTGGAATGCTGTACTCTGTTGTCCAAACGATTGGACAAACCGGCCCATTACAGTGCGAAATATGTTGGGTTCACGATCCCTAATCATTTCGTCATTGGATTTGGATTGGATTACAACGAACTGTACCGTGATTTGCAAGACATCTGGGTCATTTCTCAAAAGGGAATTGATTTTGATCAATCGACAATGCACTAAAAGGATGGCTTGTGTCTGAGATTAATCGGTTCAATGATGATTCATTTCTTAGCTATTTAGCATAGAGCTTTGACAAGCGAGGATCCATGAGTTCAGCAGAGGAAATGCATTGAGCTTCTTTGAATATTGTCAGGATTAAATGGTACATATGGAGATTGGCTTCATGTCATGCTTTATTCGTTGAGGAAGCCGTGGGTTTGCTGAAGAAATTTGATCTGTCGTTTCCGTTTCGTTTCGTGTTGGTAGTAGAGGCAGGAGTGTCGTCATGATAGCAGTTCAGAAAGTGACCTTGCTCAATAAAGCTGTTGTAGTCTAGGTATCTGTGATGGTGAAAAGAGTCGTGCAGTAGCAGATTGTGCCAGTCTAGGGCCCAGAGATACACAACGCCTAACGCTACACTACCCCACTACAATACTAATATTGTATGACAGTAGACTTTGATTCATTCATTCATTCATTCATTCGTGCATCTGGGGGATAGTGTTGAGGGTTGAGGGGAGTTCACCTTCAAAGGGGGGCTATTGTGCTGACGCATTTTTTTATGGAATGATTGTGTCACAACACGATTCATTCGAGAGGTCGCAACGATTAAACTTTTGTCCACTCTGTTTTCTTAGGAGAGAGAGCGCTATTCACGATACCACTTACTGACAAAGCATTCATTAGCAGAGGATAGTGAAGCCAACCTTACACATTTGCAAGGGAAACAGTGTTGTCAAGACAGTCTGTTGCCAAGAGACAACGCCTGAATAGGAACTCTGAAATTCAAAAATCGTTTGCTTCTGATCAGGTTTCCTATTGGGTACTGTACTGTACAGTCATACGTATATTATCATTTGTGATGTTTTTCTGCAATCCATTCCACCAAACGAATAACAATAGAGAGGAAGGTGACGATGGTGATACCGGATTCCGATTCCTGATCGATCATGACAACTTTTCATCATGGGAACCATCGAACGATTCGCCAAATTTGGAACCAACTGCTTCCTTCTCCACTGGTTCGGCGGGGTCCACTTATGACCGTAGCGAAGACTCATCATTTGCCAATGGTATGTTTCACGATGCGTCCTCGGATGCGATATTCCGACAAAGAATACCGCATCCGAGTGACCAACCAACGAGGAGAAGACTCACCACACGATGGATCAACGTTACAAGGTTCTCCAAGCTGATGATTCTTCTCCGCTGTGTGGCACTCGGTGTTTTCCTTCTCGGATGGCCTTACTACACTTACTACAATAAGGAATCAATGAAGGATAATACGCTATGGATCAAGGGTGCATTACGGATATGGAATGGAGCAGTCCCAAGTTCCAGCAAGCTGATTGAAATCAGTGGAGCTTCCATTGGGATTTTAGGCAAGATTCCTTGGGCAATCTCCAGCTTGTTCCAATGGGATTGCGTGGACGATGCGATTATTCATTGGACCAAGGGATCAATCCTAATAGTTCCAAAGGCAATCCTGGAGAGTGGTAGAGTGGCTGCCACTGCAACCCATGCAACTCTACCATTGATCCTTGAGACTGCCACCAAAACCGTGGCACGGCCAATCCTGCGAACTATTGATGAGTTCGCTGGCCCAGCACCAGGTGCCCAGCAAGCCTTGGCACTACTTGATTTCTTGCAAGATGCGGACCTATGAGGGGCTTTTTATGAAGACTGACTTGCAACCGCTGATACAATGACTGCCTGAATCATTGAATCAATCAATCAATCATTCCAAACAATTTTTAGCGAAGAGACGAGCTCACGTTGAGCTCGACACTTTACATACGAAAGACGACTAGACGACTACTAGACATAGAATCGAACTTATATATAAAGAGACACATGTATAGATATCTCTTATTTTAAGATTCTAGCTTTGTCGTAGATCTTGAATCAGGCCCACATAAACTCCGATCCCCTCGAGAAACGTGGACTCTGGAATATATTCATCATGTTCGTGGAGCATGATTTCAGTGTTTCGCATCGGCGAAAATCCCAGTGCCCGAACTCCAAGTGCTCGCAAGAACCTAGAATCGGTTGCTGCTGGAAACACCTGAGGAACGATTTCACATCCCATATTGGCCAAGGAATCGCAAAAGACGCCGTACCAAGGATTCACCTTGCGATCTGTTTCCGTAGTAGCATGCTTGTCGCCTCCTTCCATTCCATCGACATGCTTCCACGTGACTTTACTCCCCCCAGCGGTGTTCTTGCTACACTCTTGGCACCATACATCTAACAATGACTTCATCTCGGATGGAGGCATGTGAGGAGAAATCCGAATGTCAAAGCTACACCTTGCAATGGAAGGGACCACATTGTAGGCATAGGTATCCCCCACTTCAACACCCGCTTGAAGCGTCGTAATGTTCAGACTCGTAACGTCCCCTAGTTTCTTCCGTGCTACTGCATGAGCACAATTCTCGTCGTGTTTCATTTCCAATAGATCCTTTTGACCCTTTCGGAATGCCAATGCCTTTTGCGTCATTTCCAAGAGTTGTTCTACGGCAGTGTTTTCGATGAATCGGCTTCCATGACCTGTGGGACCCTCTGCTGTGACGTCAACCCACCAAGCTGTTCAGGCATTGCATACAAAAGAAAGATTTGGTTAGGACAAATGAAGCTGAGACAGATCCAAACTGTCCGTGATTGCGATACCTACGGAGCCTCTCCCCATAAAAGACATCAAACGTGTTCGTCGTGCTTGCTAGACCTTCATCCAAGGCAATTCCAATCCCTGGCAAGTTTTTGTAAAGTTTGGATTCCAAAAAGGCTGCCATTCCACTGCCACCAATCTCCTCATCCGGAACAAATGTTAGGTAAATGTCACGTTCTGGTTGCCAATCGGGATGCAGCTTAGAAATCGTTCGAATGGCTTCAATGTACTGCATACAAACGCACTTCATATCTTGGGTTCCACGTCCATAAATCTTTCCACCCTTTCGCAATCCATCAAAAGCAGGGACAGTCCAATTGGAAATGTCTGCTGGAACCACATCATAATGAGAATTCAGCAGTAGAATTGGCAGTTTATCATCTCGACCTTTCCATTTGGCAACCACCACAGGTGAATGATCAGGCGCTTCCTCTAGATAATGCACATCGCTCAAGACAGAAACATTCTCTAATTCCTTCTTGAGAAACTCAGCACACTGTTTGTAAGCACCTGTGGACGGTGCGGTGGCGGAAACAGTTTCGAATTTGATGAATTCTTGGAATCTTCTGATTGCAGTCTCTGCTTCAGCACCAGTGGTAGTGTAAACCTTGTTGAGTCGAGCTGTCTTGGTCGTCGTGCCTTCAACCATGTTTGTATTTGTGATGTCTTCTTCAATATAAGTAGTCCTATAGATTTTTGATTTCGGCTTCTGGAAACAAGGATCGACCATTCGAAGTGGTCGAACATTGTGACTCTGATGGAACGTACGTGGTCGTTGATCCGAATCTGATGACAATGGCAAAAGAGTCAACATCTGGTCGATTCAAACACAAAGTAACTATTTTCATCTTACAGTCTGCCAACAAAACTATCGAAAAATGAAAATCTTCAGCATCGCAGCTCTCTTTGTCGCTCTTTCTGCTTCGGCTTCAGCATTCTCGGTCGAGCAATCCAGAAGACAGGCAATCCAAGCTGTCGTCGGAGGGATGGCCTCGGTTATCGCACCAAGTGTTATTTCTGTGCTTCCTGCCAACGCAGTTGTCAGTGAAGAGACTCCAAGAGTTGTCACTCGAATGGGTGGTCTATTGGTACGTCGTTGAATTGCTATCCAAGGGTCTGGAAATGCTGATTAGATCCTTGGTGTTCTCATTGTTGTTGTCGGTTGCTTTCATTGTTGTTGCAGGAATCATACCAAGATGGACTCCGATCAATTAAAATCATGGTTCCTTCCGGGTGGAACAAGTTTGAGGGTGAAGTCGGTGCCTATGATATCAAGTGGCAAGATTTGGTCGATGCCAGCGAAAACATCAAGATTTCTTCGAACCCTGTCAAGTCCACAACGGTCTCTATTGATACTTTGGGCGATGTTCAATCTGTTGGAGAATCACTAGCCGCTAAAAGAAATGCTAAGCTTATCTCTGCCACCGAAAGATTGACCGACGGCATTCTATTTTACAAGTTCGATTTCGCAATTAATGATGGAACCCACCAACTGCTTCAGTTGTGTGTCTGCAAGGGAAAGGTTTGGAGTATTGACGCCAGCGCGAAGGAGAAGCGCTGGGGCAAGAGATCAGAGCTATATGAAAATGTTTTGGGAAGTTTCATGCCAAAGCTTGCATAAGCTGAGAAAATTAGATATTCAATGATACGTTACCATTCATTTCAACAAACCATCCAAAGCTACGGAGGATGGCAAATGTATCGAAAACTCCAATCATTAGGTACTTGTTAAATAGCTAATGATCTTGAAGTCAAAGTGTTCTAATGAAGCATTGTCATCTCTTCCACAACAGCAAGGACGTCTTCCAACATTAGGTCTACTCGATCGGCATCCTTCATATCGCTGTCGTTCTTGTCGTTGGAAACTAATGAAGATTCGTCAACTTCCCACCCACCATCTCGGTTCATTTCATCCACAACCTTCTGCATAGTACTCTTGTCCAGATCCAAAAAGGATTCAATCAAGTCTCCATCGACAAAACCATGACTTGGATGAATACGCTGTTCAGCGTTGAAGGCACGGAACTGTTGATGATTGAAGTTTCCAACGGGGGTCACAGCTGTTTGAAGGGAACGCTGCATGCAAGAAAAGAAAGCAGCGGTTGGACCATCAAGACCTAAAATGACTCCAAGAGTACCATCGACAGTACCAAATAGGGTTTGGCTTCCGATCGCCACACCAGGTCGACGAGTGCGCAAAGCTCCCTGAGATCCTGCTACCTTCCCGCTGACGCTACCTCTCTTCATTGGTGAGGCCAAGATGCTGCTTCTTCTTCTGGATCCGGAGCGTGCGGAAGCTTCAGTGCCGGAGTTGCTGGGCATGACGAGGCTGCCGCTCATGAATTTGTTGCACATTTCGCCTAGATGGAACTCGCCGACAGTGTCAAGGCGACATCGGACTTCTTCGTTTTGAGCCTTCGCGTTGCGTTTCAGTACAAATAGATTGTTCCAGTTTTCTCCTCCCAGATAAATGTCGTCAGTTAGCATAGTGACAGCAGTAGTCCAGTTGGCATTAAAGTCGCGCGCAATTTCTTCAAGAGTTTCGTGCTCACTGTAGTACTGCACAAGAGAAATGGAGCGCATAAGGTCCCCAACAAGAGCAAGCATTTCTTTCTTCGGTGCGAGCTTTGCTGTTTCTTTCCCATCAAAAGATTCTTGATGTCCATTTGATTTGGTTGCTTTACTCGAGACGAACAAACTTAGAATGTGGCCATGGTGTTCGACTCCAATCTTTGCGAGATTTACACCACCAGTTCCATCATCTTGAAGTTGGAATACTTGTGTTTTGGAGTTGACAGTACCCAGAAGCATCCCCTCGTAGAATTGACACATGGAATAAACGCCACCACGAACTTCAAGTTCAGTAACTGTCTTGACCGAGCGTGACGCCTCTGTACCATCAGTCTCATTCAGACCGCAAGATAGGACAATGATTCGGCCCTTTGTTGGCTCGTCTTCATCATGCATCGCATAGGCTGTACCAATTATCAGTACGGGCCTGTGCTCAACTTTTGATCCTTCACCGTCCATACCATCAATGGACGCGGTTTCGCCCGACACATTTCCAGGCAGCGTTGGTTTGTATGGCCGGAGTGTTGCAGAGACCATTGAAAGTATCATCTCAAAGGGATCCAAATCAATCCTGGGAAAATAACAAACAGATGTTTAGGATACCATGTAGGAATGGTGCAATGGAAGCTTGCTGGACAGCACGTACCGATGAACATCTTCGAATGAGGTGTCATCAAGGAAACGAATACAATTTCCCATGGCCAATTCGTTTCCGCCAGCACTTCCTTGTTTGATGCCCGATTCAATACAGCCAACTGCAAACAGTCTGCCTTCAGGACAGTGAACAACTCGCCGCGGCGCCATCCCAAGGCGATATGTCGAGACATGAAGTTTCTGAATATCATCAATAACACCCAAGCGCATATTGACATCATCCGCTATGCACAGTGAATAATGATCTTGTCCCATGGCATCAAACAAAAGTGGGTTAAAGAAAGGTGTCGCGGAGTTGACAGAAATTGATTCGCGTGTAGCAGGTCGGCTGACATCATTTGTGTCGCCATCATCAGCAGGGCTGATATTGACATTGCTGTAACACAGCTTGGAGTTGTAGTTGCCACTTGAGGTTCCCGCAAGGTATATGACTGTTGGTCGGTCTCCTGTAGCTAAAACGCAGCTTCCTCCCTTCTCGCTGAACAATGGAACCAAGTTGATTCGTTGGGTTCCCAAGCTCACCTCTTTCTTTGATTGCACCGAGATGCTTCCCTCTTGTATAACAGTGAAGGAAACTAGCGTACCGTCACCAAGGCCAACAAACAGCATATCAGCGCCTGGTAGCACCTTTTTCGATTTGGCACTACTGTTTGATGATGATGACATATCAAGGGTGGCTAGGCAGAGGGATCTGGCCATCATGTTATTTCGGTTGCTTCGATGTTTTTCTCCTCCATTCTCGCCTTCTTCATCTTCCTCTCCCGTTGACAAGTTGATGAGCAATAATTCCGATAGTTCTGCTGTCTGGAGAGAAAGCAGGCGAACAGTGAAATCGTCCCACAGACCAACAGCAACCAACGATGACTTTTGGCCCCTCTTTTGCAACAGCGATGCATTGCACATTTCGGCAGACAAAAACGGGTTGATATCCAAGCAACTGACTTCTCGGTCCATCTTCTTGGATGCTTTCTCGTGGAATTTTTGCTCGATTACTTCGATGTATAGCACCTTTCCACCACGCAACGCAACTGCAACTTGGCCTCCTTCGTTGGCAGTGGCTACTGTGATCTGACTGTCTGGTTCCATAGTATCCAAAACTGTCCCTCCTTCGTTGACCAATCGCAGTTGTGTTTCAGTGATTTGCAAGAAAAGATTGCCAACCACGTTGGTGACGAATAAAGTGGAAGCACTGGATTCAAGTCCAGGCAAAAATACTTCTTCCAAAGTGCCTCCAACATCTTCTTCGGCCTCCATTCCTCCGTCTTCGCTCATAGCATCATCCTCCGCCCCAACACTGGTAACTCCCAAGACTCTTGTCTCGCCAACATAACTTTGCACCAAATAGGCATCTTGGGTATCTGCAAACTTTTCACGAAGGCTCCACATATTTTGAATTCCTCCAAGTTCGACAGCCGCATACTCCTTCATGCCAGTGCCATTCTGAACCACTCGAAGACTTCCAGATTTGGAAGAGCCAGAAGCAGTGACCACTTGTGATTGTGCGCCTTCGGTTCGGTTGGAACCAGTCATTGGCACCAAGTCAAAATCCACGATGGGGCCCAAGTGCGTATATTCTTCTTCGACACTCAAATAGGTAGTTTCTCCCAATTCCAGGGCCGCATCATCATCCATATCGTCTTCCTCCACTGGAATAGGTTCATCGTGGATCTGGACCAACTGACTATCACCCAAGGTGCTTCCACAAAAGACAAGTCCTTGATCCAAATATTGCAGTGTATTGGAAAGTGTACAGCTTCCCAGAGTATCCAGTTGGAGGGCCACCACTTTGGCGTGTTGCGTAATCAACGTCAACATGTGCAAGTTTCCGAATTCATCTCCCAATAAGAAACGGGGCATACCCGAAACATCGGGTGGTAGAGCATCCCAACTTAGAATTAGAGCTGGAGGAATGGGCATGACCTTGTGGTGATTCAAACCACAAAAGGTGATTTGTCGTTGTCCCAAAATGACCACACCCCCCGATGCTTGTTGCGTTGAGGATGTACTGGTCGTGGAAGCACTCGGTGCCGCAGCCACTGCCGCTACCGGCGGTACTGGAATCAAAAGACTGCTTCCACCATCAATTCTTGGTTTCTTCAACCACTCCAAATGCATTTCCAACATACTCTGGTTCCCCGCCATGGAGGTCATGCTCCACAATTGTGATTTTGGCAAATCCACCACATGGGTGGAAATATGCTGAGCGCCTCGGGCATCTTGATGCAACAAGCACAAGTGTGGTGGAGTCATACTTGCGTCCAAATGATGCAGCATGGCAATCTGCAGGACTAATTTTTCCTCCAATCGTGCATGAAAGACAGGTCCCAGCACATTTTTTTGGGTGGGTGCCACTGCGGCCAAAATGGGAAAGATTGTGATTAGACCATCGTATAGATGCATGACAATGCATCGATTGTGGGGATCGACGGCGACAAGTGGACCTGTATCGGCCAAATCCCCCATGACGTTCCATTCGTCCTTTAGATTGCCAGACGCAAAAGTTTCCACATAATTTGGAAGATTGGCATTGTATCCAATCACTGCATATTGATGTTGATCGGTAGTCATAAACAATAAAGAAGTAGGATGACTGGCCAAAGGTAGTGCGACCAAGCACGTGATCCGACCATTAATGGGAATGCTGAGAATAACAGGAAAGGGAGAACTGATGGCCTCTTCATCTTCTTCTTCAATCTTGAGTTGACGAATTTCCAATCTTCTTGATTTTCCAACCACGACATCTTGTTTCTGCAGCGCAAGATGAAAAAGAAATAGAGAGAAAGAGGAAGAGAGAGTAAAAGGGCCAAACACATGTAAGATATCCAGTATGTGATATGGCATGAATTTTAGGTCATCATCATCCAACATGAAACTAACTTACTTCGCGATCCGAAGACATGAAATTACATTTGACAGTATGTAGGACGCCACCAGGTGGATGGGCCGTCACGACGTAATGGGAAACTTCGCGGTCCATTATTGAATGGCAGTATTAGGATTCAGATGATTTTTAAAAAGTCAGATTCGAGTCTTGGTGCGTATGATGTGAATGACAGAGGATGACGAAAAGAAAATCAACCACAGTGATAACCAAGGCGTATGAGCAGCAATGTTTCTGAGCTATGGCACTTTTGCGAAGGCAACTGAATGCGCAGTGAACAGTGAACAGTGAACAGTGATGGTTGCAATGTCAAACAAGTTTTGGATTGTTGATCACAGACCTTTTCCTTCAGCGCGCCTTGCAATGCCATACGACCCGGATTTGAAAGTCTTTCCCTACTTTTGAAATCCCAAACATATTAGGGGGCATCCCGAAAATGTTACAATTACCACACGTACATGCGTACGTATACGTTCGTGTCCCGCTCAGAAAGTGCACAAAAAGGAGAATACGAAAAAATTGGCCGCAAGGGAGAATTTTTGGGTTGCGCAACCGCGGGGAGCGTCAGGGACAAGCTTACCAGGTACCGGTACCAGGTACCGGTACCAGGTACCTGGTACTGGTACCTGGTACCAGGTACCACCGGTAGCAACGAGAAAATTGTACCACTGTAGGTTGTAATGTATCATCATCCTCTTTTAGCACCACTTGTCTAATCAGTTTATATACAATGTATGTAGTCGTTACCAAGCGAGTGTAATCTGAATGCTTCTCGTATGTTCCGATCTATCGCCCTCTCTTTGGAAATATACTCGGCCGAATAAAAGCTACAATGGAAGTACTATTAGGCAATTAGTTTGATGAATTTTTTGTATGGTCTAATCAATTAACAATGAACTAATCGCTACTGTATGCTGCCTAATCTGGATTCTGCCCCCTGTGTTGTAGTCTCTAGCTTTCTCTTCAAAAAGATACTCTTAGAATGGGGCGTTAGCCTGATGGATGAAATGCAATCTCGTGGCATATGGCATTCCTGTGCTTTAGCACGCTCTGTGATCGCTGTGTGATGTGCGCTTCCAGGCCTGTTGCATCATGCTTTGTCAAGCGGTGCTCCGAAGATACTCGATCGGAATCTTAACGTTGTCTCAGCTACTGCCTTGTGCATCTAAAAGTCCAGATCACCAAAGACATCGGAATCGAACATGTCCGTATTCAATGCTCCTGGGATCATGTTGAAAGCACCAATACCATCATCTTCAGGGAGTGGGTTGATGTCCTCGTGACGTGCCAACATTTTCATGTTGCGCGTTGCAGCAAGTTTTCGTTTCATTTCTTGTTCTCTCGAGACAGGTGACTTGTCGTCACTGTTGCAACTGCTGTTGCTATTGTCTTCTTCCGACTTGTGCAATGGCTTCTCAGACATGCTGGAAAGGGTGGTAAAAGATTCTTCGAACATGACTTGCGGTATTTTTTTTTTGTGATCTTCGTGATTTCGTGATTTGTGAGACGTTGGAAACCAAGATTCGGACCCATATTTTGCGCGGCATCTCCCTCGAGCTCCATTCTCACGATTTCGTACAATCCTACTGAACCCGCACACAATGGGACCCAGTCGTAGATCAGAAAACTGCTTTGAATACAAGATAATTCTCAACTATAAATCTGGACATTTGTCCATATGTAGGTCATGTATGCCCCTGAAACGTGGTGAAGATTCCAGCCAATTCAACGATTAGCAGATTTAACACAACGATTCGCGGACTTAACAGAAGATGTCCTCTTCATTTTGCGATCGGCAAGGTTGGGTCATTTAGGATGCTTTTGATATAAAATAGAAACGTTGGTTTTCTCAAAGTGACGGGTAAAAGTCGTCCAGGACTTTTGCGCCTTGTGATCCAGCGACTTCCAAACAAGGGACTCACAGTTGCCTTAAGTGAATCTAAGCGATTAGCAAGACACAAGACATCTAAGCGTCGAACTTTAATACCGCAAGCCCACCTGCCAGATACTTTATGTGTGTTTGAGAAAAAGACAGGTTTGATCACTTTCAAACTTTTCTGTGGTACAGTATTTGGTGGCAGAGCCTGCCATTGCACTGGAAGATCTGGACATCGTCCGGAAAGGGATGGAGGGCAAGACCGACGCAAAACGACAAAATGAATTCATGAATGACCGCGAGCAACTATCAAGACCAGACTTTCAACTTGAAAGTGGAGTCACATTTTATGACGGTGACAATGTATTTCCAAAGTTAAAATCATCCTGACCAATACTACCTCTTTTGTCACCTTTGCCATGAGCAACGGGTAACATATCATTCATTTAATTAATTAACCCGTCAATATTAAAACAACACCACAAATTGTGGCAGTCGATCACTGACGTGACGACGCCAGAACTGAAACGCAACAAACAAGTGAGTGTTGCAACATGCCCCATTTTTTCTAGTGAGAATGAATCTAGAAAAGATTTGAATGCATTTTTTCCGCGTACTGTGGGGAACGGTATGTTGAATATATCTGTATGATTGACTGATTGACTGATTGATTGATTGACTGGTTGATTGATTCATCCTCCATAGATAGCCATTCATGCATTCGTCAAGAAGTGACACAGAAAGTCATATTGTAAATGCAAGCACATTATATACAACAATCATCCAACCTGGTCGTTTCCCAATGAATCAATCATCCTGCTGTACTACTGGGAAGGAAAATTGATCGCCATACATAGAACGGCGTACGTATGATTGCAACCGAAGCCTTCAAGCTTTTGTCGACTACAGTAATCGGTTCACAAGCATATCGCAGCTCGCGTAAGAACCTACAGTAGCGTTCCATTGCATTATGTCATGTCATTAACAGACTGTTGTTTTCTAGCCAACCACACTCCATGCATTCATTCATTCATCACGAAGCAACATACTATATTGATATTCTACTATTTACTAGTATTATAGGACTATTGATAATAATCCTGAATTTATGTTTTAATGCGCCCAAGTCTTGACCCAATCTCGTTCGTATACATAGACACCCCGAATCTTCCAATAGGCTTGCTTCAGTGCCTCTGGTTCACTCTTGATGTAGTCGTTGCAAGTTTTGAATTGTTTGGACTCCTTTTTGCAATCCAATTGGAATCGATTCCCCGCGACGCTCCCACAAAAGGCTGTATTTAACACCAATCGCATATCCTTAAAGTGGTGGGAACCACAGTTGGTTCCCTCACCAATGGGAAAGTAACCATAGGGCACTGGCCACATGTTGGGATCTGGCATGACCCGGTCTTTTTCCGGCTTGTGAGCGGTTCGAATGGCCCTGACCAAGTTTTCGGGAACTGCCTTGTGGGGTGAAAAGACCCAGGTTCGGATATGTTTGTTTTGTGGATCCCATTCCAAGGCAAATACTCCGCCACCCTTTTTATTGAGGGGTACTCCCAGAGAACCACCGTCGGCGTCAACGGCCACACATCCTTGATTCAGCCACTGGTGAGGATCGTAGACAAAACAGTTGCGGGCTTCTCGAAAGGTCATGTCGGGAATGCCCTGAAAATTGAACGATCGTAGATAAATGAAAGAAGATGTGAGATGAAAGATCCCAATGAATGAATGCTCGTCCAAACCCCCTGTCAATGATTACGCATTTCACATTACGTACCGTCTTTTTATCGGGAATCCCAACCGCTGTATCCCACGTCCCACTCATGGTTCCTACTGGCACATCGTACATGTCACATTGCTTGGTACTGTGCAAAGCCGTCTTGGCTTCACTTTGGTAATTGACTCCCTCCACAATGTCAATTTCTCCATTGACGGGCCAATTGGCTTCATCTGTCATCCAAAAGGCTGGCCATACCCCACAACCCTCAGGCATGTGTCGGACATCAATGATAAAGAGGCCCCTGTTGAACCGACGTTTGCCCTCTAGTCGAATGGATTCACGAGGTCCACCTTGAGTGGGAGACGTAGTCAGGTACAAGAAGGGTTCTTCGCTTTGTTCTTTGAGTTGCAGCCGTCGTTGTCGTCTCGTACTATTTCCATTGGCATCAACACTATCCACAATGTCGCCATCATTTGCAAAGTAGACATCCAAGTCATCCTTTTCCATGGTCACATTGACAATCCCCACTACCTTGGCTCTAGCTTCCGATACATAGGTAATGTACCCATTGCTACCCACAGAGTCGGGTCCTTCGTAAAAGCTCCAATAGTCAAAGAACTTTGTTCCTTCCTGTCGTTCGAGCAGTCGATACGGTCCCGCCGGTACATTGGGTGGGCCAATAAACTGAGCTCCAACGTACAATGCCGCACCAATCAAGACAAACGACAATAACGCCAAGAATGCCATGGTCACAAATCGATTGCGAGCCGCACTTTGATTGTTCCTGGCACTTGCGCTTAAACTTTGCTGTGAGGCAAATGATCCTCGATGATGCAAGGGGACATCCAAGGCCAGAGATTCTCGAAGGATGCGTTCTTCGGCTTCGGAATCGTCGTCATCAATCGCCAACAAACGAAAGGAAAGCTGATCCGCCGCCATGCTTTCTCGTCGTATGCTGTTTTCTTTCAGGCTGGCAAAGTAGACGTTGCCATTGTCGTCAAAGTCGCCTTCGACAATGTCAGAAGCACCGTCAAAACCGTCACTATCCACATCATCGACATTCGGTTGAGAGGGTGTTGTAGAAGAGGATGGCCGATGCATCAGCGGTGTGGACTCGCCAGGTGCTTCCTTTTTTCGACCAAACATTGTGAGTTTGTGTGTTCGTTTGTGTGTCACTCAAAATGGTGGTGTTGAAGCTATTAGCGTTGTGCCTTTTGCTTCGTCTGATCGATGGATTTGAGCGATGGATGGATGGATGGATGGATGGATGGATGGATTGATATTCGTTCCCTCTCTGCTCTCTAACGAAACGATTGACTAACTCTCTTTCTTTCGATACTTTGCTCTTGCTTCTTGAAAGTCTTCCAGTAATAACAATAGCTTCTAGTTGTAGGTAGTGGCCAGTGATAATACAGTAGTAAGTTCTGGTGACATCCCAATCCGAAGCAAGAAGCCAATAGGCAGGTAGAGAAGAGATGCGAACATTGACGACGTGTCGCTGCGCGAAAGATCGCGCGATGAAAGATAAAATCCGATCTGAAATCCAATCAACCTTCTGTGATCACAAAACAACGAAAACAACAACAACAAACAACAACCTTGAAACGACACAAATTTTGTAAAAGATGATGTTCTTCTCCTCGTCATGCTTTACACTCCTTTCCATTGTACAACTATCAGTCATATCAGGATTTGCTCCGATCCACCATGTTCCAGTCTCGCCAACAAGTTGTTCTTCTTCATCAGCAGCTCTTCACATGGCATCACCACCACCACCACCACCACCACCACCACAAGAACCACCAATGATGCCCGCTTTGAACGATAAAGAGATTCGAGAAATTCTCGATCAAATTCCAGTCTATGGTTTGATTTCCAAAGAGACTGGTTCTCTATTTCTCGTGGACGATGATACCCAAGTTGCCCAGGAAGGAGAGAGAGAGGAGGATGTCGTCCCACCAACATCCAATGGCAAAAAGACGATTGCCAATTTTTATCTGTCCCCCGAATTCTGTCAAGCGCTGGTCGCTGGAAACGAAGACCAATTGGAAGTCGGAGTCTATCGCCTGGGTCAAGTTTATTTTGATTACTACCAAAAGGAGAGCAAAGCTGCTACTACTACTACTACTACTACTATGGAATACCGTATCATTCCGGATGCTCGCAACGTCCAACAGGCCCGGTCCATTCTCAGTCAAATGGCCGGGATTCAAAATGCCTTCTCGTCCAGTCCACTCCAAAAGGAAGGGTACGTTGAAATTCCAATATTTATGGATCAACACTTACGACTAGCCGAAGAACTAGGTGACTCGGATGAAGATTATCGAGAAATCTTTCCAATGTACTTTGGTTGGAACGACCTGGTGACGACCTGTCAAGAATACGTAAAGGGCATGAAAGACGCTGGTATGGACGAAGAAGAATATGAAGCGGCCATTAGTGTGGCCGAATTGCATCAATTGGTTGCGGAAATGCGCCGAGAGTCTCCCATTGACTTTCGCAATGTGCAATTTGTGCCGGCTTCCCCTCGACCACTGGACGAAGAAGGTGCCAAGACAGAATAAATGAACAAAATGGCATTGATAGCTTTGAGAGTACGCGATTGTTACCTTCAATATTGAGAAGAGAATGAATTGTAGACATTATTGCTGTTGGACAAAGACTGAGGAAGCAATGATCAGTTACCGTTCAAGGACCATTGAAGTGATTCCGAGGATGGAATGAATCAATGATCGTCAAGGAGAGTCAAGATAAAAGGCAGAATCGAATCGCAGTCTGGCTTTTGACGAAAGATGGTTCACTCTTGGACTTGTCTGAGTGAGTTGATCACTCCCTTCCTACTACTGTCATACTTGCTCGTTAAGTTTAGCATTGCTCTCCTGTACGCGACCTATATAGTCAAGCTACACCTGTAGAAATCAAATCAAATCAATTCAATTAAAATATACATCATCTGTTATTATAATATATTACGCAGCTCTAAATTATTATTATTCTTATACCAGCGCGGCCGTTTCTGGTATGTTATCAGGATCGAAATTGGGGGGAGCATTTCGGACGGTGATGAACTCTCGTCTTCGCATTAGCAATAATACCAAAACAAGCAGGATTTCCGCAGCTATTGCAGCCCAGAGCAAGATGTCAGAAAGACCTGCTTCTTCTATGGCTCCATCAATGCTTCGATCCGAATCATTAGGATCGTTTTCTGGCTCGCAACAAAGCTCTCTGTTCGCATCGGTATTGATCCCTGTTTCGCAAATCATCTTGCTATTCACAAAGGGAGCCTGCTGCTGCCCCATTTCACACGTCCATGACGGCTTGTCCGGAAGGGCCATACCATTATTTCGCAATACCTCTCCTCGTCCACACAATTCGCACTTGCCTGGCGGGGATACTGGAGAACCTGCTCCGTCACCCTCACAGCCACAAAAGGACTCCAAATCAAAATCCCAATCCCTCTTGACTTGAGTACAAATATCGTCGCTGGGCAGTTGTTGAAGTGTTTGATCCAGTTTTTGACAAGTTGTTCCCGTTTGGTGCTCGACGACACTGTTGGGTCGACCCACTTGATTTTGATTGGGACAGACCGAGCATGGGGATCCCAACGTTTTGGCTTGGCAACACTGGGGTTTGGCAAATTCCAACCAGTCGCACAAGGTTCGGTTGGTGATAAACGGCGCAATCTCGGCTAGGTGTCCACAGGTTCTGGCCTCGTTGCCCATTCCAATGACCAGTTCTTCGTCAATCAAATCGTCCGACTCGCAAAAATTAGTAGTACACTGATTGGGTGGTTCTTCTCCAGGACATCCGCAATAGGCTAAAAGATCCATTTCTTTGTTGAGTCCATTACGTTGGATATTGCATGCCGTTGCATCTCCTTGAATCAAATGAAAGTAGTACTGATCGACTTGGGCGCAGGTTTCCTTCTTGCGACCCGGAACAATGGCATCTGGCCTGGTCAAGGTTGGTCCATTCTGGGCTACCGACAAGCATAGGGTGCAGGTGGGCAGGAAATCGGTGGGGCAACAGATTGGTTGAAAGTACTGCAAGTCTTGACAAAAGTCATCATCGGTCACAATGGGTGCCAATTCCGCAATCGCACGACAAGTCATGGAGTTTCCCGCAATGCCCCAGGAATTCAATTTGTCGATGGCGCCGCTATGCATGTCCCTCAAGACAAAGTTTGGATTGACCATGTCCTCCACTGCACAAAAATTACAAGTATTGGGTGCCACTGCATTCTCGCAACCACAGTAAGATTCCAAATCAACAATGGCGTTTTCACGTTCAGCATCCCGATAACGATTGCATTCTTCCGTCGCTTCATCGTTGCTATCGACGCTCAAAACAGTTCCAAAATACTGGTCCACCAACCCACAAGTTCTTTGCAAACTCGGAATGATCTTTTCGGAATGCTCCATTTTTGGTGTTGCGGTGGACGAGGATGCGGGACAGAGATGACACGATGCCTCAAAGTTGAAACAGCAGAGAGATTGATACTGTTGGTAATCTTGACAGACATTAAAGTCGACAATGTGGGGAACGGCCGACAAAATGTCTCCGCAGGTCAGTTTGGTTCCGTCTTCCAACTTGTCCACCACCAAATCTTCATTCATGGCATTGGAATCACCGTAGGCACAGGAAAAGTCGCAGGTGCGAGGCGCTGGTGAGTTAGGACAACCACAGTAAGAGGGTAAATCTAGATAGATGTCCTGTTGATTCATCAATGCACTTCGTTGATCCGCACATTCTTGTGACCCATCATCGCCATCATTGACTATCAAAGGATCCTCGCCCAGCATATCATTGATTTCTTGACAGGTAAGCTGTTGTTGATTGGACGACCGAGCACCATTTTCAGTCGACACGGGAATGGTCCGGTTCAGAAAGCCCATGACCATCAAGGATGACCCTACGGAATAGGAGGAACGCCCTTCTGGAGAGGTAGCTCCAGGGGCCGTCCCACAAAGAGTGCAGGTCATTGCGGATTGGGACGATGCTGTATATGCTGCATCATTCAAAAATAAAGGAATAATAGTGACTAGTGCAAGTGGGCGTTTCATTGTGTACACTGTAGCTATCCGAATGCAATGATTTGTGAATGTATAGCAGTATGATGGAACGAGAAAAAGTGAGTGACCCAAAGTATGTCGTGGAAGTGATTGCAACCAAGACATCCAACCGTTTGGTTTCATGTGTAGTCTGAGTCTGCCCTCAAAACCGTTATCCACAAGATCGACCACGATTGAAGTATCCGAGTGTGGTGACTGCCAGACGTAATCCAATAAGTAGAACAATCCTTGGTCTTGCTGGCGTGCCAGGTTCCGAGTTGCGCTATATTTGTGGCCTGGAATGCATCTATTTTCGTCCGTGTTCTAATAAATACCGAAAATTCGTGCTAAGTATTTGGGTGACCGTTGTAACAATTATGGTCGAATGTCAGGAAATGTGGTGACAATGGCGACGCAAGCGGGTTGTGGTTATGAGGAATTCACACAAAAATAGCGAGAACGAAAAACCAAAAAAATAGAAAGATTTGGTATTCAACGAACCAGCGAAAGTCATTCACTACAATAAAACAATCCAACGCCGCTATCCATCCCATGAAGACTTCATTCAGCATACTATCCATTGCCTTCCTTGTTTCCCAGGTTGCTGGACAATGTTCCATTTGTCCTGGTGGAGCTAGATCGATCACTGACATTCGAGCCCAATTGGTAAAAGGTGGACCATCGTGTGGTGATATTGACGACAAAGTCCTAGTGGAAGGAGGAACAGATGACAACTTGTGTACATTCGCCAAGGATGATGTCAACTCGGAATTCGACTATTCCAAGTTCTGCTGTTCCGACGTTACCATCAACAACATTCAGTGCAGTTTCTGCGACGGTCGTGCCTTTGATGTCAACCGTATCTTGCCAGCAGATACCAACCCACAAGGGTTGACTTGCGGAGAAGCCAAATCCATGGCGGACGTTACCAAAGACGCGGATTCCTTTACGTGCACGCAAATCTTGGCCGCTAATGCCGGATGCTGTGAAGCTTCCTGCTCCATTTGCCCACTTGGATCATCTTTGGAGGACGGAAGCCGAGTCTTGCCTGGACAAGATACCTTGACTTGCGCTGCCTTTAACCTACAACTTGGTACTTCTGAAGGCACTAGCCAGTGCAATGCCGCCAAGGCTCCCTTCACCGACTACGATTTGGCATCCTACTGCGGATGCTCCGGAGAAGATCCTCCGGCGGTCTGCGACTACGCTGAGGAATGCCCAGATGGCATTGAAGACCGAAGCCAGGTTGTCGAAGGTGCCTTTGGATTGACTTGCGGTCAATTTGAACGCTTGGCAGACTTCATTCGAACTGGATCCGTCTGTAACCGGTGGTCAGAATGCTGCCGAACTGCCGAAACTACTACCACAGCTCGCTCAGGTGCCTTGGACTCTAGAACTTCCAAGCTGGCTGTAGTCCTCACCCTTGGTGTGCTATCATTGCTTTCGGTCTAAGGCGTGTAAAACGTCTCGAGGTGTCCGAGGGATAAAGTGTGTTGTCCCAATTCACCAGAGAAAAAGTAAAAATGAACAATTGGTGTAAGAAAATAGATTTTGTGTTTCATCTACTACGATTTCTAGGAAATACGCACCAGATAGGTGGGACATTCATAGACAAGGCTATTTTAACGATACGTGCATTAATATGTACAATGCATGTCGGTTGGTACACATGACGGTTGGTTCGATGTACCGGAATTGTTCCTACCTGTGTAGCAGTCCTGCAATCAGATCGAAGCTGATGAAGAAGTACAGACAAAGCTTCACAGCGCTAAACGGTCATTTCACCGAATCTGAAAATTTCACCAATCGAACCAGTTTTGCAAAACGATCCAATACTAATAAACCTTTGCACTAACTTCCGCGTCTTATTTGAACTATATCTTCATAAAACTACAAGTCATGGGTTGCAACGCGTCAAAGCAAGAAGGCAATGTCTCAAGATCTGCCCCTGGAGGAGGATCCAAAGCCAAAGGAGGAAAGGCCAAGGCTGGAAAATCCAAATCCAAGGGATTCGCATCAGCCACATCTGCACCCGTCCCTGATGGCGGTGCCTGCTATCTCGGTATGTTTACACCATGTGATATCAGTTCTTTTCCTTCAGTGTACCTTGCAAATACACGCTCACTGTCAACCTTTTTGCTTGTCTTGTTTTGTAACAATAGTTTACGAACCAGATTCCTCTGGTCGATTGGTGGAACACTACAGCAAGACAGCTATTGAAGGAGCTATTGGAAGATGGACACCAGGAAAAGATAAAAAGATTGCTGGCTTCAAATTCACTCAAAATCACGGAAAAGTCATTCTAATTGGTAACTGTAGTGGAGGTGTTGCTGGTCGAAAGGCGTACTGTGCCGGTTGGAATCAATTTGTGAAGAGTGCCAAGTTAAATAAGGGAGAAATCATGTTTTGGGAACCACTGGAAGGAGTCAAAGGACTCCCGGTAGATGTTTGGTTATACACGGATGATAATAGGCCAGGTTTCCAATCCATGAAACTAGAGACTGGTGTTGCTGTAACATTGGACAAGATGCAGGGCGTTGCCACACTGCCAAAGGATTCTGACTTTTATGAGGGGGTACAGATTGATCTTTTCAAATGGCTGGATGATGGGAACAGCAAAGGGGCATCAATCAAGTTCTAAGCAGCAGAAGCAGTATTTTTGGTGTAAAAAGTTCTTCTCTCTCTCTGGCTTCGTGCATGTTGTATTGGGGATCCGTTGATGATGGCAGGCTTCCAACAAGGGCCGTTGGCATTCATTTTCGCCAGAACGATAGTGTTATTTCTAAATTGAATAGACTTGTAAGTTTCATGTTAATTCTCTCGTGTTAAATCCTATTAGTTGGACTAGAACTGCATATAGTAGCGCTTCACCTGACAGTGCAATGGATAGGTGGTGGTTCAGATTGACAATATATTCAGCGCGAACAGAAGCCCACTTGGTTGTTTCATTACAGAAAGGCTAGAAAGCGTCGATTCAAAGTTTGGAGTGACCACGGTTTACCTTATTCTTCCCATCCTAGAGCAAAGACTGAAGATGGATGAATACAGTAGGTTGCAAAATCAAAGGAGATGCCTTGAACCAAGGCATTCAGGTTGACATGGGAGTAGTAACAGCCCAGTTCAACTATGTCAAAGTTGGGGTAGCGAGTCACGACAAACCCTGTCTTGTTCCACAAGGATTAGAGTGTCGCATTGCAATGGACTCAAGAAGTATGTATCTTTCCTCCATGGATCGTGCATTTTTGACCTGTAATGCTGTAGAGTTCAAATGTAAAACCCAAAAACAAGTGAGTATTCACGGTGGAAATAGAAGCCTCCATGTGCGCGGGTTTGTCAATATAGCACAGAGCCGATTGCCTTGAGTCATGTATAGACTACATGCTTGGCTGCCCAGAGGACCCATGCAGGGGAATGCGATTCATTCAATCGTTCAATCTTTGATCGATTGATTGATTGACTGATTCACTTTCAATTCTTCGATTGACCCCGCTGATACAATGGACTTACCAACTGTTATAGATGATAATCTAAGGAGGATGCATATCCTACTGATCATCGTCCTCGGTGAAGGGCAATCATCATGTTTCAGTTTTTCGATTTTTGTGTTCTTGAATCGTTTGTGTGGTTTGCAGTGGAGAGAGGCTTCGGGTGAGCGAAGGTCGGACGCGTGCCATCAAAATAAAACCGCCGAACGAAAACCGCGAAATACTGCTGAAATTCAAAATGCTCTTACCATAAAATATATATGTGATGCCAATATCCCGTTGACAAATCAAACATGACAGAAGGTGAGGCATCCTCTTCGGAACCAATCTTGATCATCAACGACAGGCCAATTCATTTGGTCGAAGGCTGGGAGCACGGAATTGGCGGGGGACTGTGGACAACGGGCTTGGCCATTGCCACCTACTTGGGGACGCCTCATGGAATGGAACAATTGAGCACCAAACGCCGGGTCTTGGAGCTGGGGAGTGGAAATGGATTCTTGGGGGTTTGTTTGCTAGTAGCCAATCCAGACTTGGAGCAGGTTGTCATTACCGATACAAAAGAGCATTTGCCTCTGATTGAAAAGACACTTCAACGAAACGGAATTGAAAGTGCCACAAGAACAACCATTGATAACAATAGCAAGGACGATGCATCGAAACTGTCAAGTAGCAGCAGCAAAGTTCTGGTGAAAGAATATCTTTGGGGACCAACTACAGCGGAAACATCTCCAGCAATCAAAGACAATTCCTTTGATTTGATCATCGGGTCGGACCTTGCCTACCGAAACGAATTGCACGACCCATTGATTGCCTCTATACTGGCAGCCTCCAACGCCGACACGGTGACACTGTTGGGAGTAACCATGCGTGATACCCGGCCCATCTTTTTTCAAAAACTGATTGCGGCTGGTTTGAAGTATGAACGCTTAGCTGATCACTTGCTCGAGAATCTCTATCGGGGAAAACGGTTTGGAGTCTATGTTATTTGTAGAGATGACGAGAGCAGCCAATAGTGCAATAATACGACAAAAATCTTTTCAATGTGCACGAACAAAGATCGATTCTTCTTCTGCTATCATTGTTTCCTTTCGTATTTGCAAGCATAGCAGGTAGCCTCTGTTTACTGGATGTCTTGTTGTCTGGTCCCCTCCCGGCAAAGTATCCCAGTCCTGTCTGTAAGAGGCAAAAAAGTAATCTTACAAATTGATACTATACATTATGATTAGGCAGTTTTTTTCGTCTTCTCCGTAAAGAAATCCCAAATGACATGACGCGCCGTCCAGCACATCAACGAGTGCTCTGGAGTCCCAGCCCAAACCGTTGGAATGTTTCCAAATCGGTGATGCCACCAATGGTCCCCTTCATGTTTCTCACCCGCTTTTTTGGCATGATGATTACCAAAAGGTCGTGGGGCAGAGTTGTTGCGTATGTATAAACATTTCGAAGATTGCAAGTAAACCCACAACCGTTGGTCTTTGTTGTACCATTGAAGGTTGTGTGTGGAATCGGTAAAGGCAACTCGATTTATCTGACGCAATAGTGTTTCACGAGCAACACCCTGCGATAGATATCTGGTGAGATATCCTCCCGCTGCGGAATGGGCAATAATGTACAAAGGACACTTTGACAGTCTTGCTGATGCAGATATCCTCGTTCCCTCCTTGGTATCAGTAGTCGTTTCACCAAAGAAATAGGTCAACGAGTGATTCACAACGTCCATTCCCCTTCTTTCACCCCAAGCATTGGGGTCCAAAATAATAACCGACATTTGCTGTTCTTCTGCTTGCAAAATGTGATAGACAGCCGACCCAGACTCCAAACCAGAGAGCACCAGCTGCTTGGTGGATAACACACCTGCTCTCGACTGTCCCTTGCCGCATATTATCAAGAGAACTGGTTTCTCCTCCTTCGTTGATGCCTTCCGAGGCTCTACATCTTCGTCTATTGATAGCCTTTCTGCAAGATCCGGGCTCACAAAGGCTTGAATAGGTGGTGTAGCGTCACCACCCGAAACTGAACTCTGAGAAGAAACGGGAATGGTAACGACATCATATCGATAGACATCTTGAAGCCCTTGCTGGACGATCTCTTGACAACAATCAGTGACGTCATCAAACAGCTTTCCGTGAAGCCGGAACTTTCGAAAATTGTCTTTTGTAATCATGTCATTGGACTTGGTATGATACAAGCGGGTGGTGAAATCGAACTCATTCGACGAGGAGACATCGGTATCAGTGCTGCTTTTTTTGCCAGTCCATGTCCTCGCTTCTTTCTCATAAGTGGGATCAGTAAAGCGATAGTCAAAGCCATAATGTGCCAAGTCCTTTTTTCTGGAAGGAACGTCGACCCGTGAACCTTTTGTTGCGAGTGTTCCTTGCACTCCATGTGCATCCAAATCATCCAAATTGAAGGTCTCCAACAGAGGGGGGTGTCTCATGAAAACGAACCCGGCACCACTGACGCAGTCAATTCCATCTTGATGGAGCTGCGGACAAAATAGAGCGTTTCCCATCTTGCTGAATTATGGGAAGTGTGCCAACTTCTGTCGATCCACGATCTCAGTTTCCAAAGAAAATAATTGATTCAGATAGTTGAGTCCTCGTTCTCTCTCTACCACATTCTCTCCCGCTTATTCAAAATCCTTTCTACTGCGTATTTCCCTCCGACTTGTCCTTGCTTCCTACAACTATCCTAGCATGGATCGTCTTTTCAGTTCAGTCCTGCAACAGATTGAAGATGTAAAAAAAGAAAATGGATGATGAATTTCGACCCATTGAAGTTCCGCGGGGCACGTGCAGGTTGACATGTGTGGTAGCGTTTCATAAGAAAATTGACAAAATCCGTTGGTTCTTTTGTCACAGTACTGTCACATACTGTCGCATACCTTACCAAGCCCACCTACTGGTATGTTTTCCATGCTAATATCGATACGATACACATACTATTGTACACCTACAAGGCACGTCTTTGGCGGTACAACATCATCTTGTACATTTAGTTTCCAATTGTATTGTTAGCCTATTGTTAGGGTCTGGTCATTCACCCATATTCTAAGTTTCCCTTGCTCATTCAGATGCAATTTCAGAGTAGTCGATTCTTCCAACTCGGCAAATGTGGCCAATTGCTTTTCTTGCGGTTGCAACTGCCAAAGGTCCATGGAAACAGTGCCAGCAAAATCACGGCTTACCAAAGCGGGAAGTGGAGTCCCTTTTCGAATCATTGTCAACTCTTCGTCCGTACTCTTGTTTTCGCCTCCGTCTGCCGCCGCCTTCTTTATGATTGCCTTGATGCCTATTGACACAGGTGACACGGATACCTTCATGGTGGGAGCCTTATCTGAATCTTCCTCTGCCGTCATGTTCAAAAAGGCCTGTTTGGCACATCCAAGTGCTGCGGCCTCCGCTGGATCAAAGGAGGACGATGTGATGAGCTTCTTCTGAAAGATTGCCTTGGCATGTGGTGTCAACCAGGGGTGCATGTTCCCAGCCAGTAGGACATAGTCGGCTTCTGGCAATTCTTTTAGAAACTTTTTGGCTTGCGTCGCCAGCTTGGAAGAAAGATGGTCCCACTTGGGCTTACTAATCGAAACCTGACAATCGACTCCTTCGTACAATCCATCCACGTGAATTGTGACGGTATTGTTGATGACCAGCGTCTTGAGACCGGATTCACAGGCTCTTCGTAGTTTCTCCTTGACCTTTTTCGATTCCCACACTTCCCCACGAGGAAATCGATTCTTTTGTTCAAATTGTTGTGCTACAGATTGTGCCAAGGTATCAATCAAAAGATTCCCATTCACTTCTTGCAACCTTTTTGTGGGGGCAATGCGCGACAAGACTGGGAGTTCATTCTTATCAGTACCATTACCACTGGCATTTCCCATGCATTCTAGCAGAGTGGCTTTGATCCCCCTTGCCCCTCCGTCTAGTACCAGAATCCTTTGTCCATCCTTTTTTTGCAGGCAATCTTCGTACGCCAAACAGGTTGCCGCAGCATCCGTAATGACTGCACCAAACTTTTGCAAAATTGCCATCCATCCTTCTTCTTGCAACGTTGCTTCATCCTTGTCGGCAGGAATGCTCAGAATGACATTTAGATTCTTGGTGTGTGCCGAACTGGCGGCCAATTGCATGAGATTGTCTTGGACAAATTTCTCTACCGTTTCGATTGTCACCGGAGTTGTGGCGGCATTCGGTTGCGAACCAGGCGCCGCTGCCAAAAGACACCGGGTCGTTCGATGACCATCGTGATTGGCAATCATGACCGGATGTTGCAAGGCTTCATCGTAAGAAGCCAGTCGGGCGTTCCAACTTCCCAGATCTATGCCAATGGCAACCTTGGTGGGCGTTGCTGCCGCTGCTGCTGCTGCTGCTGCTGTTTGATTGGAAGACATTGTATATATATTATGTATGGATATTACAGGAATGAATCAATGGATCGACTGACTGAGTTTGTAGTATTAAAAGGTGACGAGTTCCAAACTGAAGAATCAAGTTGATGGTAAAATGACGAGATTCACAACGGAGGTTGATACAATTCCATCTCCGGTTGATGCGTGCAAAATCTCGATTGGTCCGAGGTCGGTCGTAGAAGTCGATGACGAAGGTGTGAAGGACGTACGTACTCGGAAATAAAATGTGTGCGAGGGACAGACGCATACTTAGGGATTGGCGGGAGGAAATTTCTTTTGGTGGCAGAGTGAGCACAGCATTGGAAGTGGGATCCGAGAGTTGAATTCAGTCACAGTCCATTATTAGAGACTCTTTTCTGATCCTGCAGCATAGACTTGTGTCTGCACTTTAGAGGTGCAAGAAAAGCAGAAAACAAAAAGCGATGCATGAACCATTTCGTCTAGCTTTGTCATGATCCTCTTGACCTTACTGAAGCAGACAACAGTTTGGCGAATTTGGCGGGATTGGATTTTTGAATCGATCGTGTTTCGGCTGGGAAGGTGGGATTGGTACTGTAGCACTCATAGTAAGAAGAGTACATTTAACGGCTCGTGAAGTGGACGTTTTGATGGTGGACATGTTCTGCCAATTTTTGTGTAGAATTAGTAAGACATGTACGAGTGTCTGGATTAGTATAACGAAATTCTGTACCGCGCGTAACCTCCGCTATCCAGTGTACTGACGTATATGACGCGCGTCGGACGTAGCTTCGGAAGTGAGTTCCGAACATTCTTGCGTGTTTTGGATGGGTTCTTGTCAAAACAAACACGATTGTTTTGATTCATTCCAAATTGTGAACTGTCTCTCACGTCGAAGGACATTTGCAACGCCAAAATAGTCTTCACAAACTTCTCGTTTTGGACTCTCCAAATCTTTCAGATCCAAAATGCCATTGCAAATACCCAACAAGGCAGAGGGAAGTATGATATTGCTTTCCATGCTATCTTATGCAGGACTTGGTGTCTACAATCACAAGGTGCTGGAAGGCCAACCTGAACAGGATGCTCTCATGACATTTATGGCGTGGGTGTGGATTTCATCCTTTGTCATGATGCTAGGTGGTGCTCACAAGCTCAAGTTTTGCACCGTTGGTACTCTGATTCTCTTTTCCAACATGCCGTAAGTCGACCGCCCCTGTTACAAAGTGTCATCTTGGTGACACCGAATGCCAATCCACTCACAATGCGGTCTTTTTGTTCCTTCAAATCATTACTGTAGAATGCTCTCTAGCATAGGTCTAGGATGGATTTGTGCCTTTGAATCCATGATGTGGTTATGCTTTCAAGCGCAATCACTGGTGCCACAGCAAAAGAAGGAAATATTATCAGGGAATGCCAAGAAACAGAAGAGATTGGAGTTTATTCGCAAGACAGTCATTACTAGAAGGATACGCAATGAGGGCCCATTGTGTGGAGAGTCCTGTACCATTTGTTTGCACGATTTCAAGAGAAGGGACACTGTCTGCTTTTCTCCCAATTCCAAATGCACCCATGCCTTTCACCTCTGTTGCGCACAAGAGTGGTTGTCCCAACATGTTCGGTGCCCTTGTTGCAGAGAGAACTATCTGCAAAAGGCAGGAAAGAAGAATGTCTTGCCAGAAGCGGATCCAACCGTACCATGCTTGAAGGATGAAGTGAGTTCTGATTGAAAGACTGACTCTTTCCCGATTTCTATTGTTGACATCACTACCAGTACAGCCAGTACTACTACAAATACAAGAAAACTGCAGCAGATACAATCTCGATTGGGATTTCGTTCATACATATATATTACACATACATTGCATACATTCGAAAGTCAATGACTGGCTTTCTGTTGAATGAATGGCGCCGATGCACGTTAGAGAAAGGAACGACTCCTTTACGGCAGCGTTGTGCGACTAGAAGATGCGAAATACACTCACATCAGCAGAAGTGAACAATCAAATATTGCCGCTGATGAATTACATATCATACACACACACACACACACACGAAACACAAACAAACAATAATAAATAGATACACATAAAACTGCTCAGATACGCGATCGGTTGATGCATTCTACAGTATTGATGCTAGCTTCGTGGTGGTGCGTGCGACTGGCTGGTCATGTTAAGCAGAAAGACTGAAAAAGGCCCTCATTGCCTGCAGCCAGTTAAGGTTTGGTCAAACTACGAATCATCAATTGGATGACATCTTGACACAACAAGAGGAGCAGGAAGAGACACTGGTAGGTAGTCATTGACACTCCTGAATCGCTTAAAAGAAGCTACCGGTGAATGCGTTGATGATTGATTGATTCTTCTTCTTCAGCAAGGAGGATCATTGGACTGAAAAAGGCTCTCATTGCTTGCAGCCGTGTGCGTCTCTCAAGGGGCGTTCTTAACAAAAAAACAAAAATGCACCACGTGTCTCATTTGCACCATGGCGGAATTTGGTGCATATTTGACCATTCCTAACAAAAACGGTGCCGCATTCCCGGCCCTGTGCGGCAGTACCGGCCCTGCGTACAATTCTTTAAGTAAACACCATTTCTCTTCTGCTTAATGGATTCTTCTCAGAGATGGCTTGATAAGTTTGCATTTACTCAAGCGACGGCGACGGAGTATTGCTGGTTGAATGCCAAACCATACATCAAGGCAGGAGCAACATAAATGTTTTGCATTTCATGGACAATGGACTAACTAGACCGCAGTTGTTCTTGGTTTTTAGTGCTCTTAATTGTTGGAAAGAAGAAGATTGTCATTGGCTTAAGGTTTTCCCTCCACATTTGCTTAGTTTGTAAGCAACACCTTAGTTTTGATTGGCTGATATACCTTAGTTTCCGGGTTACTTTAGAGGTAGTATTTGATTTTCAAATACTCCAGTGTTGCTTACATCATCCGTGAATGAATACCGTTGGATCACGGATTGCCGTGGCCTTAGTACAAAAATACGTCATTTTCAAATACTCCCTGTGCACATATATATCACATGAAATTTCACAAAATTTTCATGAGTACAGAAAAAATTACACGGACAAAACCATATCCATCATTCATACAAGACACCTTTTTGCACTTCCACTGCAGTTTGTTGTAGCTTAGAAAGTTTTCCAAGATTGTTTTTCTTGGGATTGGAATATATCTGTTTGATCTTTTCTTTGGCATCTGTTACGACGGAACTCTTATCATTGTTGGTTGCCTTCTTTGTTGGATTTGAAGCTCCATCAAATATTAGCAGGACAACAAATCCATTTCTTATCAAAAGACCACCATGCTCAAAAATGTAATTGACAATGTGGGTGACTGGAACCTTCCTTTCCATAAAGAATTGTTGAACAGCTGGCTTGTGCTGAAGAGCAGCTATGAGCCAACACAAGAGATCGACACTGACAACAGGATTGTGAGGACCACCTGCGGGAAACTTACCATTAAGGCGGGTACAAATCGACTTGACTGTGTGTGTAAAGCCTTGTGATGGATGACAATATGCAGCACCACCTTTGACACCCATTTCAATGTGATATCTTCTGTACGTCCAGGTTGTGAAAAGAACGTGCAGATGACACATGGCTTATTAGAGGGTCCTCCATTGGTTGATAGATTAAAAGTCATTTTATTATGATTGCTAGCATAGTAATGACTTGGAAGACAAGTTGACATTGCGGCAATGTATTGTTGTGCCTTGGAAAAGTCAAGCATTTTTCCAAACATTGGCATTTTCCCCATGGGGTTGCCAAAATGGCCAGCACACGAGCCTTATCTGCTTTTCAATATTTACGGCTTGCACTTTATATGACTGCAAATCCAACATTTGTCTGTCCTGACCATGAATCATACTAAATTGTTTCAGCAAATAGTTCAACTCCTTGCCATTGAGGTTACCAGAACGTCTTCGGGCTCCTTACGCTTTTCCCATAGGGAACAGCCATGGAAAGGCACACGCCAGTATCTCATCATCTGGCAAGGACTCATGAATTGGGTCTTGGTGTCAATGCAATATGACAAAGAGTTGTTATGCCTGTCTCTTCCTTCTGATTCATGTTCTCCAAACCATCCCGGTGCAACATTGTCTGAATCCATTTGATACTGGCTCACAGTCCTGCTTTCCTTCATCAACACTTTTCATCATGTTCAGAATAGCATCATTCTCAACTTGCTTGTGGATGCTCTCCATTTGCAGCAAGGTATCTGGTGATTGACTGACATAATGCAACTTAAGAGGGAGATCCTCATTGCTACTTGGATGACTGGAACCCTCAATTTGTGACGTTGATGCTCCTCCAAAGTAATCATGCTGGTAACTATCTGACATGGAGTCCACCTGATCGGCACCAGCAACATCAGAGCCAAGACGTTTTCCATGCAGAAGACTCTGCTTGTCAATAATAACTGAGACGTTAATTATTAATATGTTACTCTGTGGGCATTCAATTGCCGGTGAAATATTTGGAGGTGAAGGTCAAGTACTGTGAAGCAGTGAGTCAACAACAAGTTTGAACCATGTGAGGCATCTGTAGCATGAACCGAAGTTGTTCAAGTCTACCAAAGGGGTAAAGAGTTCTTCCGCAACGTGGCGGGGTGAATTAGGGGCTTGTAAGGTCCTGCAAAAGGTCAGTGTTGGGATATGACGAAATATGAGTTTTTACGTTCCAAAAAGAAACTATTCAAGTACAAAGTTTTCAACAGGTACGATCGGACTTAGATCGTGATGTCGGGATTTGACGCAAGTATGCCCGACGCAAGTCTGTCGGACAATCTACATCCACACAAAAAGGGAATGACCCTATACAAGTGAGATATCGGTGTTGTGTACAATGCAGTAGGGAATAATACAAGATGTCCCAAAGTACTGCATTCAACACAGAATTGTCGTAGAGGTCGAATCAAGTTCTGTAAACAAGAGATTTTCCAAGGGAAAATCTTTTGTGATTGAATCATCAATTCAAGCCAAATATTAGTCAAATAGGAACAATTTCACTGTAAGTATACCTAGACACAGGAGAAATATTGTTGTGAAAGTGTTGTACAGTCAATTACGAATTTAGATTGCAGAGAGTTTGTTCTGAGCGCTAAAGGCACTCACGATAGAGCACATTTTGCTTTATTCTAACATTCAATCACAAAAGGCAACAAAACAAATTTACATCAAGAACAGCACTGCCTTATCTACAAAGGAGTGAGTGATTCGTTGACGATGGGACGTTCTTCATCCGGTGGTGGAAGAGGACGTGTGACTCCTCAGAAAGTCAAGAGCAATTCGAGTTCAACAGTTGTGAAACATCTATTTTCAACAAAAGATGAAAACGATGGAAAGGCAAGATCGTCGTATGAAGAAGCCGAAGAAAGAGTGATTGACTATATCCAAGCTTCTGGAATGAATTGTTTCGAAGACATGGTGAAATCAATTTGAGATGGAAAGTCAATCGTCTTCAGTGCAATCGCTCGAAGATTGAACGCTCCAACTCAAACTGAAGCTGTTGCAAGAGAAACAGAGATGGCCCAAAACAAGATTCTCTATTCTGCAAAGCTCAACGAGAACATGCGAAGATCAGCTTACTTCAAGACAAACAAGAGAACCGTCAAATCAAACATCATGCTGAAGTTTGTGACAAAGGCGATGGATATCAAGCTTCAAGGTGAAGCTGATTTCACGACTACTCTTGAAGATCCGATCAAACTGTTGAAACGTATTGAACGATTCATGAAGAAGAGTGCTGATGCTGAGTATGATTTCTTGGATTTCTGGGAAGCAAATCAAAAGTTCTTTGCTATGAAGCAAGGAACAGAAGGAACAATTCTTGAGACAGGCTGAAGTCCTGCAAGATCTATATGGCGTGGCCTGGTTCCGAGATTTTGCAGTCAAGACAAAAGCGTATGCTGCTATTGCTAGCACCGATACTGCTGCTCAAAACAAGTTCAAAGATGATATCTTTGAAGCTGTTCTTGCAACAGGATTTCTGTGCAACTGCGATCGAACGAGAACAGCTCCTCTGATGCTGGATCTTCAGACAAACTATTGCAGAGAAGTGGATTATTATTCAAAGACGGTCAGCAAAGCACAAGATATGTTGAAGATTCACCTGGAAGTGATTAAAAATCCGGGAGTGAACTCTACCAAGGAAAAGACCAACCTAATAAAGGTAAAGGTAAAGGAAAAGGAAAGGGGAAACCAAAGGATGGAAAGAAGGCAGCATGTTATGTGTGTGGCAACAAAGACCATATGTCTCCAAAATGCCCAGACAGACTGTTACCAAAGATCCAATGGAAGAATCAGGATCAATATGTCGACTATGGGAAAAAGCTCAATCTTATTCAGATTGGAGCAACTGTCCCAGCTACTGTTCCAGCTATAGTTCCTGGAGCTTCAGCGTCCGCAAGTGGAGCATCAAGTGTTGCAGGAAGCGTTAACACACCTTTGCGACTTGCTGGTACTACAGGTAATCAAATGATGCAAGTTCCTTCTGGAATGCAGCTCATGCAGATTCCAACTCAAGGTGGGGGCACTGTTACTGTCCCTTATTCTATGAATGCTAACGTGAGATTGCGTTCAGTGGAATGCAACTCAGCC